TTTAATACACGTACAACAAATACAGTGAAAGTACTTTTTTCCATGGAGTCATAATTCCATGGAATCACAATTTCTGTTCAATCCAGATCGCGATTACTTAGTCTGACTCTGACCAACGATTGTATTCTTCAATGCACTTTAAATATAAAGTGAAAAATCTCCCCCCCCCAATTTCTAGAGGAAACTTGTGGCCACATTCATAGAAAAAAAAAATAAATCTGATACAGAAAAGAGTATAAGGTTTATAGTAATTGATAGGGTAGATAATTAGATGGAAAAAAAATTATATGTAACAAGTTTTTCAGTCAGTAGGTCTGTCTGGTAGCTTCACAGATAAGAATCTGTAAAAAGCTCCAATTCAAAGTAAATGTGTTCTGGTTTGACCTTGTAACTGATTTTTTTAGATGTATTCCATTACAGATCAAAAAATGGTATGTCTAGATCATATCACTTTGTATTTAAATAAAAGACCCTGTTGATTTATTCATCTTTAGGGGGAAGGGTGTTCATGCAGTCCCATTTTAGATGGTCATGATTGCAGGGGGGATGGGGGGCATCAGCAATGTTATGACTATTGTAAAATTAAAATTGAGTTGGGGGAAGGATAGCTTTTTGAATTGATAATAGTCTGTCAAAGGCCCAAAGACAATTTAGATTTCTGATGCATGATTAAACCATACCTTCCAGAAAGTTGTTCCGTCTTGTGAATGCATGTAAAATCCTTTCTTTTTCTCCCATGACTGTACCAAAACAAAAAAATCGCTTGCATTACATTGCTTTTACTACTGTAACAACATTTGAAGATCATTTTAATGTCATGAATTAATACAACTTTTCAATACTACAATCCTACCTTACTGTGGTATTTCACCCAGTACAATACTCCGAGGGCAATAACATATGCCCTCACAGTACGAGTAGCTAACACTCGGAAATTATTTGCAAGCCATGGACTCTGAAACAGATATGGAATTCAATGTAGAATTTCTGCATATATCAAATTATTAATCAGATCTTGATTTTAAAATATAACCCTTATAGATCTAAATTTTATATTGACAATCACATGAATGGCAAGGACACTTTTAATTTCACTGATTCAAGTAAATTCCCCCCACTAAATATTGCAGAAGCGTCAAGCCTGAAGACGATAGTTTAAATACATATCGGCTTTCTTCACGATTTTGACATGCAAAGAAAGTTTCAGAACTGGCACCCTTTAAAAATCTGGGAATTCCCCACCTCCAATCAGAGGCAACATTCTCAGGCAGAGTTTCCAAAAACTATCGGTCCTGCCGGCAAAACCGATAGAAAATCGAAATGTCCGATGAAATTCGCTCTAGTACCGGTCCGTGTGACCGATTGTGGTGAGGGCTTGTCCTGATTAATTTATTGTACTCTGATCTATTGCAATGTCTTCATAAATGAAAATTTTCAATGCAGCATGCTCCTATTTTTAGTAAATATCCATAATCTTATCTATTTTGCAATTCTACTTGACTTATTTACTTCCAAAAACGATCGTTTTTTTTTCTTATCCGAATTTCCTCAATTCCTCTGTTAATGGTAAACACATGCAGTATATAGGTCATGAAGTGCAATGCCCACTGAGAAAACATGAAGATAATTTAAATTTATTCTGAATTTCTTACTATCTTAACTGCTATTTATATATGATTCAATTTTACAAGTGAGAATTAAATTTTAATTTTAGAAAGAATACTAGTAACCTTAAGAAATTAGCTTTTTCAAGAATAAACTTTTTTGTCATATTTAATTGTTTCTTTCCCCCAACATTTACTTGGGGCTAGTGACTTTATTTGCTGCCACAAGCCTGTGTGGGCTGGTGCCATGCTTGAATTCTTTATACATGTAGTTGCAATATAACCCTGGTATCACAATCAGTGTTGATGAGCCATGAAAAGATTTTTTGTCATTTTCTTTGAATTACATCATGAAATATTCATTGTACATTCTAATATTTATTCGGACTGATAGAATATGCTTCGGACTGGTAGAACGCATTAAGTCATCAGTCCAAATGACTGATAGAAATATTTGGTTTTCGGAAACTCTGCTCGGGTTGATCTTTGATACACAAAACGAATTAAATGTCAAAGTCAGAACAGTGACAACTCATGATCAATTATTTAAGTACAAAACTTTTAGTATTTACCAATATCATTTTTTTTTTACTAAAACATACAATCTGATATAATCATTTTATCTGACTGTCAAAATTTGTTTTCTTTCATGCATTTTAAATCTTGCAAGTACTATTGATAATTTGTGAGTTTGGCATTTAATTTGGTTCGCAAATATAGAAAATCAACTCCTAGTCCTAGCTGTTGGAGATGGAGAAATTTTCAGTTGTAATGGTGCCTGTTTTGTCATTTTTCTGAACGGTGGCACATAGGTCTTTTTCAAACATTTACAAACCAAAGATACTTGAATTGAAATCCTGCTGCTTACCATTACTTTAGACAGTGTTCCCTCCAGCATGTTTCCTGGAAGCTGATAAAGTTTTCTAATCCCATTTACTGGCTTAATTTTTGGCCAGACTTCCATCCTTGGTTCACCTTTCGCTAACACTTGGTCTTGCAGCCAGATCTTTCGTCGAATCCTATCCTCTGCCGACATTTTTTCACCCAATCTATCCCGCTCATACGGAAGGGGTTCGATATTAAATGGTGGATACTGACTGCCATTGAACTTAAATATCTTCTCTGCATCCGAAATTGGCAAGGTTTCCTGTCTGAATTTGATAGGAATAAATTTTCCTCCTGCGGAGGCAAACCTTGGTTCGGATAACCTTGCCATTTTTCAGGCAGGATGTTGTGTGTTCAGTGTAAATGAGAAAACCTTCTGTGTGAAAATAAAATCCGGATTAAGGCGTAGCGTTTACAAACGCAAAACGCAGGTATTTATTCCATCACATGGAAACAGAATAAATCAATCATTTTTTCCTCTCCGAAAAAAAAAAATCAGTAGGTGTAACTGGCCTTATAAATAGTTTTGCTTTATCTGAATCATTTTATATCTTGTAATCTTGTAATCAAAGAAAAGGGGGGTTGAAAAAGCTAGTTTTTACCCAGTCTGTCTTGTCTGCAAAACTGTTATGATTGTTTTGAGCTACTAATGTACCTTAAAGGTGCAATTCGATCCTTATGACATGACCTATCTCTGGGTTACAACAAATATAAAACTTTTGAACATTTGGTGCTTCTGACTGACTCTCATATTTCACAGTTTGATTTCCTCGGGTATAAAATTTTAGACCTTAATGACCAAGGACCTATATACTAGTGTAAGGCAAAAAAAAATAATAATAACAGTCTTAATTGTTTTCTGCAACCAGACTGAAAAAATAGGGTAGGTAGGTAGGAAAATTATTTTTTAGCTCACCTGAGCCGAAGGCTCAAGTGACCTTTTCTGATCACATTTTGTCCGTCGTCCATCCGTCTGTCTGTCCGTCTGTAAACTTTTCAAATTTTTGACTTCTTCTCAAGAACCACTGGGCCAATTTTGACCAAACTTGGTACAAAGCATCCTTGGGTGAAGGGGAATTTAAATTGTTAAAATAAAGGGCCAAGTCTCCTCATAAGGGGAGATAATCAAGAAAAGACAAAAATAGGGTAGGGTCATTTTAAAATCTTCTTCTCAAGAACCACTGAGCCAAAAAAAAAAACTGAAACTTATGTGGAAGCATCCTGGTATAGTGTAGATTCTAAATTGTTCAAATCATGACCCCCGGGGGAAGGGCGGGGCCACAATGGGGAATCAAAGTTTTACATAGAAATACGAGAGGTGATCAAAAAGTTCGCAAACTATCTCTATATCTACAAAACCACAATTCAGATTAGAATGAAATTCGGTACACACATAGCCATACAGAAGGTCTATAAATAGCATATGCTGAATAAAGTTTTTCTCCATGTTTGTGACGTCACTATGTAGGTCATTTGTGACGAAAAATGGTTCTCTCAGTTGAACTCGTTCAACAAACGACTGTACAATTTATTGTATATCTTAGAAATCCCTCAGCAGTATTATATGATAATTTGTACACAGTTTATTGAGATAAATGAGTTCCTATAAATTCAATTAATGATTGGATTGATCGTTTTACTGAAGGAAGGCAGATGGTTAAAAGTGATACTTGTTATCTTGCCCAGTTAAAGCAAGTTTGAAAAGATATGTATTTTTAATTAAGGAAGTTGCTATCAAAGACATCCAATTAGCACTTTGAAAAATAGTTGAATATTTGAACAATGATATAATTATTAAATACCTAAGATATCGTTTACTTTAGATTTTAAACACATGAGATATGATAAAAAGGAGGCACCAACTCTCTATCCACCTTGAATAAAATTCTCTCTTGAGACAGACGATTTGTGTTTTAATGGTCGCCATACTTATTTTTGGAAAGGATATTCTTATCCACCCATTCTGTTGCCGAGATATGACCATTTCTGACAAATGAACTGTTCTCGTCATAAAAATTAACTCACTTGGAAAGAAATATAAAGCTCAGAAAAACCTTCCATGTTCTGTGACAGAACGCTACGGAGGGGGTCACGTGACCGCCAATATCACGTGATTCACGCATGCGCAGAACGGTGGTTGATGTGCATTGAAATCGGAGAGGATTAATTTAAAATATAATCAACATTGATACCAAATATTGTAATTCTTTTTTGGAAGTTATTCAATTAGTTTGCGAACTTTTTGATCACCCCTCGTATATAGGAAAAATCTTTGAAAATCTTAATTCTTCTAAAGAACCAATTGGCCAGAAAAGCTGAAATTTATGTGGAAGCATCCTGGGGTAGTGTAAATTCTAAATTATTTAAATCATGACCCTGGGGGAAGGGCGGGGCCACAATTGGTAATCAAAGTTTTACATAGAAATATATAGGAAAAATCTTTGAAAATCCTCTCAAGAACCACTGGGCCAGAAAAGCTGAAACTTATGTGCACATGGAAGGATCATGGGGTAGTGTAGATTTCAAAATGTCTAAATTATGATCAGTGGGGTAGGGTGGGGATGCATTATGTATTACAAGGGGGAAATCTGGTAAAGATGGTCAAAGCTTCTCGGGTGAGCGATGTGGCCCATGGGCCTCTTATTTATTTTATTTTATTTTTTTCCAATGGTTGGATATGAACTAGGATCCACCAATACCACCACCACATTTTCCACTTCATAGGATCTTGATGATAGCAATAAAAATTCTTGAGGAATGTTTTAAAACTATTACAAAGCCAAATTTAACATGTCATAGGACTAAGGTCAATATTATCATTTAAAATAAGTAGTGTTTTATGAAAGTTCATATTTAAAACTCATATTTCATGAAATAACACTTGATTATATTTTTTTTTTCACTTTTGGATAAAGAAATTTCTGATTTTCCCCCCAAAACTAAATAAAAAACTTTAGGGTCAGGTGCGAGTAGCAGGAAACAAGACTACGGTATATTTTTATTTTTGGCCTAATTGAGGTCCCTGCCTTGACCTTTGAGTTTAACTTAATTTAAAAAAAAAATCAACCTTGGCCATTACAATTTTTGAACAGTTAGTGATATGGTTTTCATATTTCATAAATGTATTCCTTGTGACAAGGCCATCCCTTAAAAACAAAAATTTTTAAAATAAACCCTTTGTCCTTGACCTTGGAGTCTAGCTCGATCATCACTTAATTTTGAACAATTTTAACCTTGGCCATAACGTATAAATGTTACTTGTAGGGGTTTTTTTTTATATTACACACTACACAGTCAGATGTATCACTTAATTGTGACATGAGTTTTCCTTATGACAATATACTTTTCTATGGATATCATTATTTTTTATCTCTTGACCTTGGTTTGTCTTACATTAAGCTTACACCCTAAGCTGCCATATGGAGGTATCTGTGCTTCACAAACACATTTTGTTTTCTTATCAACATGTCTGAAACTTAAGTATCAACCTTAAATGCAGGAACTTTCAGGTAATTTGCTAAATTAAAATCATTATAACTTTTGACTGAATATTTTCATGAATATATATATATCATTCTATAATTAATTAATGCATGTATGTTGAAAAAAATGAATTTGTCAATAGTTTATTGAGATCTAGAATGAAATACACCAACAGAAATAATTACATCAAAGTTGATCAAACAACAAATATTGCATGTTCTTTAGCATACTGAAACCAATAATACATTGAATTTATATATTTTAATTGTTTTCTTGAAGTTGTTTAACAGAATCTTGGCAGCCAGTTTTCCAGCTGACACTATAATGTTTTGGGGGAATTATAATTTTTTGAAGACAGATACATGTAACACACTAGTCTAATGGCTGCTACAGGTCTATATTTAGTTTTCTGATAGTGTGTGAAATGTTCATACATATATATTTACAATTTATTATACCCCCCACTTGAAAAGCAAGAAGGTATATGGACCGCTCTCTGGGAAAAGGGGTCTTAATTAATGACATAAGCGTTGACGTTGAGAAAACGTGTTTATTGTGACGTCAAATTTTCGCGTCTTAAGGTAGGATTCTTCTCTGGTTTCTGACTAGATCGAATATTCAAAGAACATTTGTTGATATGTCTTACTTATTTAGATGTAAGAGATTTTAAAGACTATATTTTTCTTCCCTCATCACAATTATACAACTTTAAATAGAAATGGTAATCTGCGTTTGAAAACTAGCAGGGACTATATTTTTGGCGGAATGGTGGCGTATGAAAATATCATCTTTTCTGCCTCTCAAAATTATTATAGAACATTGAATTTAGTTATAATTTTTAAGCAATCAAAGAGTAGACGAAATTTTCAAATGTAATTAAAATTAATAATAAGGGACTAAAGTTTCAAAATATATCAAATAAATAAGATTTTTCACACATACTAGAACTATGTTGGCTTTTAAATGCTTCAAATCTAAGTACAGATTTGAGCCAAAAATCCGTAAAAAGTGTTATTTCTCTCTTAGTAAACGATCAAAACTTTTAGTTTTTGTATCATTTTGTACCTTTGTACCACAACTTTACTATATGTGAAAATTGGAAAAAGTTAAATATAGGAAGCCTATAAAAATAACTAATATATCCTAACAAATTTAGAAAAGTAGAGGAAATTCGGATTAGCAACTATCCATTTTATTTAAATTATCCATGTCAATTTGGTAATATCATCTTATAGGCCCTATATGGTAGTATCTTTTTATGCAAAGAGAAAAATATTCAATCTTTTGAATTACAATTAGGGATCACATGATTGGAAACAGTAATTTTTCTATATATTCGATCAATGCATACTATCTTTGCAAGATATATAACTGTATTCAGCGGCAGCTCACACATATTGGTCCGACCAAAATAATTCCATCATGATAAGTAGATACAACATTATTGTTCATGATAAGAGTAAAGTTGTGTATGTCATACGTTAAAGAAATCAAAAATAACGTCAAAATATCATTAGAAAGTCACTTTCCCCCCGAAATGCAAGTAAAAAATATCAATATTCCTACGCTCGCTCCCTCCTCAGCCTTTTTTTTTTTTACGTGTTTGATAACAGAGAATAATTAGGTCATTCTTCGATTCATATCTTTTCACCAACGAATTGATAATACTATATCAACAATTGTATTAAGTACATGTTTATAGTCCGTTAATTATCATACAATTTGTTCTTAAAGAAAAAATTAATCATTCTGTGTGTGTGTATTATTAAATGACGGAATTTTCAATCCCTGGCCTGCTCGTGTGTACACTTTGTAAACTGTAGGGTATGTGTGGCAAAACGAGAACTGCATGGGTTGGAGATTCGGGTTCGTGTTGAAGTTCAGCATACCATTATATATAGAACTTGAATAATGTAAGTAATTTCTGCGACAAATATATTAGTATATTTCAGTTATTTTCAAAACAAAAAAGGTTTTCCATGTTTTCAGTTTAGAATTTTCCGACCCGGTCCTGATTTTCCCAACCCGGCCATTTTAAACACAAGTTGTTGCAGATGCAAATGTTAGAACAAACTATATAAAGTTCAACAGGGATTGTATAATTTTTATTAATCAGAATTCGTATTTATATGATCTAATTAAGAAAAGAAAAGTTTTGTCTGACACCGTAACTTCTCGGCAAAACAAAACGTGTTTCTCCGAACTCGCTGGATGCGTGTGACAGCTCCATTGCACGTGTGTAGACCAAGGCTACAGGTACATGTAGGCCTATGTGTACTGTTTGTTAGGAGACTGGGTGACCGTAATGCTATGGAATCACGATATTTACAACAGTTCCATAATTAGACAGTGCAGTTTTTTTTTTTATTAACGTCATTATAAACACTGTTAAACATGTTAAATCTTACAGTCGAATATCTTTGGATATGGGGTAACCCATATCTATTCTTGTTATTCTTAATGTCCAGGAAAAAGGTAATGACCTTGACCTGACCTTGCCTCTAATATTAAACGGTCAAATTTAATCTCACTGACACCATCACTTAGTGATATTGTCCTCTTGATTCTGTGAAAATTTCATTCATTTCTAAATACAAGAAATGTGAGAAGAATCCTACCTTAAACGCACATGTTTCTTTTTTCTCACTTTCCACCCTCTGCTGTTTTTTTTTATTTTCAGAGTGAAAGTATAAATAAATACGTGTTATGATCGTCGTATTGTGTGTGAAATAAATTTTTTTGCCATTCTAAAATATTTTCTCAGGATACCCCTGAGGGATATTCTGATATAACTTACATTAATATTGTATTTTCTGTACTGTTTCCTGTGTGAATTTTACATCGGCATTTCGCGAACAATTTGAAGATCAATGTACACAATATATAGATACTATCAAAATTTTGTTCAGCTATTTTCGTTAGATTTGATATCCTAGTGAAATGAATAGTTAATCCAACGCTGAAACAAATTCTATTCATACGTGAACCCGCCTCTATGAATGTAAAGTATTATGATCCACCAAAATTCACAAATGCCATGTCTTTATTTACATAACGTCACTCGAGCCCGACCTCAAAGCATTGCGATTTAAGGGATAATCACCCTCTCACCAATTTTCATATTTAAATAAATTAGAGACTTAATGCTTTCATTTCCTAAGCCACAGAAAGAAGAAAAGACAATGAAATATCAGTAAGTATAATGTTTATACCTTGAAAGTTTGCATACATGTACATGAAAATTGACAATATTAAATGAATTTGATTAGTTTATAATAGGCCTATTTGTGCGTTCACACAACATAAATCAACATGTTCTATAATTGTAGCATTAATTTGTTGGTTGATGGATTGAAATTCATTTGTTTTCTGATATTTTTTCAAATATAAAACTGCAGGACGTGTTAAGATTTTTTTTCATTGTATTGCTTGCAGTTCATACATGCACGTATTTTATTTAGCACATATCATATACTTCGATACTTTCCACTGTTCAACCTTTTTTTAACAAGCATTGCTCCTGGATTTTAGGATTTATTTATAATTCCCGATTATACTCTCAAAGAATAATAGTTTCATTTAATAAATATCAAAAAACTTTAAAAACGATGTGTTATTTCCATGCGCGGATGCCCCCCCCCCCTTAACAATAGTAGAGTTATACCCTCCTCAAAGTGTTTAAAATATTACTATAGTAATCAAATGTTTAAAATATGCGGAGAAATAATACTTTTGAATTTAAGAAGTGAAAGCAGTCCGACCCACCCCTCTACGGAATAAGTTCAACACCTTTGAAAGGAGTGTATATTTTTTGGTTTGGTTTGGTTTTATTTTCTTTTAGCTCGTCAACAAATTATGATTTGGATGTAATTATTAATTAGGCAGAATCCATGCACCCCCCTCCCTACCCAGGAATAAATTGCGAGGCTTGGATCCTGCATGGCTTGAATCCCCGATACATTATGATGTTTAACCATGAGGGATAGAGACTCAGAGAGCGGGATACTATACTGATATATCAAAGGCAGCCGCATGTTGACTTGTATGAAATGTGGATATGTGGATAACTTACACTATACTTATCTTCATGACTAATACCTATCTAATAGCTAACAAGATTGACCAACTCTCTCCACCTAATAACAAAAATGTAGCGATCATATAATTTTAAAAAAAAACTTTCTGTCAATTATATCATTTTTATTTTTTTTTTTTTATACTTTAATTCATAAGCAAAGATATTCTCCGAAAATAAGTGTTAAGTGTTTTCAAAATGGTAGATTTGATCTTTTCATGTCATGCCATATCATGAAAAGTAACTCAAATACACTTCATCCGAAGATCATTCATGGAGGGGGGGGGGGGTGAAATAAGTACATGTACATGCACTTTATCCACTCCTGAGGTGTCAGTGGAGGTTCATAATTTAGTTGTTTTTTTTATTGAAAACAAGTAATTATAAAAATGCACATATACATATATGTATATTTGATTGACTTTTACACAAGTTCGTTCATGGAGAGATTTGATCTAAAGTTGCGCCGTAAAAAAACGAGTGATTCTTCATGTTGTACTTTATATCAGACAAACGGGGGGGGGGGGGGGGGGGTAATTCTCTATTATACACTTAATAGAAAACAAAAGCTCATTAAAAGTTTAACCCTTAAAAGCTTTACCAGTGAATACACTTAAAAGGAAATTTAAAGAAATATTGGTTGTGCACCTCAAAAGTAAAATGACGTTTTTTGTTGGTTTTTTTTTTTTGTTGGTTTTTTTTTTTTTCTGCTTTGTTTTTGTTAAATTTTTCTATTAGGCTGATCCCCCTCTTACAACAAAAATTACCACCTACAGCGTGTGCATATCATGTTAAGTCTTCTTTAATCTAATACTGTTTTTTTTTTTCAAATTTTATACAGCAAGTTAAATTCACGCATGTTAATTAGGCCATCTTTAAAATAATGTTTATTTACCTTCTCCCGACTTGGATTGGATTATAGTAGGTCGAAAAAAAAAAAACATTACCAGAAAATTTCAACATATTTGTTGACGTAATAAGAGGATTAAAAAAAAAAAAATATGGTGTCCTGGTATGTAAAAAAAAAGTTTTGAGTCGGGCCATCTTTAAACAGTCGATTGGGAGTGGACAACCATTTTTTTAAAAGATGGTCTTAGCTATTTCATTATTAACTCAAAACACATTTTTTTAATCGAGTTCTGGTTTCTTTTCAGGGTTTGGCAGTCTCAAAGTTTAACACTTCTCCCGAACGCCATGTAATATTTAAGTGACATCTCCGATACCAATTCTCTATTATACACTTAATAGAAAACAAAAGCTCATTAAAAGTTTAACCCTTAAAAGCTTTACCAGTGTCTACTCAACTGATTTCAGAATACAAAGCCTGGGATTTTGAGGAATAAGGTTCAAAAGCAGAAATAAAGATCAGCGTATTAGAAGATGAGAAATTTTACTCAGGATTGACCAGTTAGTTTACTGACCAATGATCTTATTGACGCCCGCAAACATTTATCCGGTCACAATTTCCCATCCGGCCTGTTAACCCCTTGAAAAAGTATATGTAATGATACCAAGCTTTGTTTTGAATATTACTTTTCTGTTTCTTTGTTATCATAATTATTTTGTTGGTCTTTAAAAACATTTATTGTTAAAAAAAACATTTGTAGTCAACCTTTATGAAATCAATTGGATATACATAAACACAATGTCATTCGCTGTGCAACATGTACGGATACAATAACTTTATAATTTAATAAATATGCTTCATGATATATTTATTAAAGAATGTGTTAGGAAAAAATAATTTATATCAAAAAAAAAATTAGGTTATTCTATTTTATCATCAAATTAATCTTAGATTTTGTTTCAAAAACGTCATTTCTTTTTACAAAGGTAACGTTATTGAAAGTCTTCGTTTCTAAGACGTCATAAAAGATAACGTTATTGAATAACGTCATTGACGTTATTATTTAATTGCAACATGTTGTGTTCAAACACGTATAACTTTAAATCTAAAGCAAATTTAAGGCTCAAATTTTGACTGTGTGTCCCAAATTTGTTGTAGATTTGAAATATTTGAAAAAGTAAATTTCGAAAATTTTGTCATTAAGACCCCTTTTCCCAGAGAGTGGTCCATATAGTAATCGGTATGTCGATCTGTCCATCCGTCTGTACATCTGTCCATCTGTTACGCTTTGGGGTACCCATCTCTTATCCACAACTCCTCTCATACCACTGAAGGAAATTTAATGAAACTTTCACAGAATCTTTATTAATATTGCCATTGTGCACCTCCTATTTTACTTTTTGATCTGACATATATTTTGCATTTTCCAGAGCAAAAACATGGACATGCACTGCCATTATATTCATGTGGGAGGCGGAGGGTTTCATTTATTTAAATTGATTGTCAGCTAGATTACAGGTGAGTACTGTCAGCTATACTTCTACACTGAATAGTATCTGTTACTACATGTATAAGTACCAACAGTTTTTTTTTTTTCGAAGTTGGATAACAAGATCTGGGTTACTAGCAATATACAGTTGTCCTGACTCAATAAAGTTTTGAGGTTATGTAGTTTTTTGAAGTCCGATAACAGAATCTGAGCTGTAACTGGTCCTGACACTGTGAATTGTTGAGGATTATAGTTTTTTGAAGTCAGCTAACAGAGTCTGAGCTGTTACTGGTCCTGAAACTGTGAATTGTTGAGGGTTATAGTTTTTTGAAGTCCGCTAACAGAGTCTGAGCTGTTACTAGTCCTGACACTGTGAATTGTTGAGGGTTATAGTTTTTTGAAGTCCGCTAACAGAGTCTGAGCTGTTACTAGTCCTGACACTGTGAATTGTTGAGGTTATAGTTTTTTGAAGTCCGCTAACAGAGTCTGAGCTGCTACTGGTCCTGACATTGTGAATTGTTGAGAGTTATAGTTTTTTGAAGTCCGCTAACAGAGTCTGGGCTGCTAATCTTCCTGGAGATCCCATCACACCACCACCTGTAAAAGGATTAACAATTTAATTATTTTTAATTACAAAGTATTAATTTAAGCACTAGTAAACACCTTCAATGCACATGCAAGCATTGGTTTTGGAAATAATTTTTTTAACCCATACTATAATAATAACATGTCAAACAAATTTCTGTAACAAGTGCTTAGCTGTGCTTCATTGCTATGAACAGATGAAACTACACATTTAGATTTATAATTTTTATAGAAAACAAAATATAATTTAAATTGGGAAATCATTTCTAAATTTAAATTAATAACTACAAGTGTCTATCAAAAGCAATCACCTTACTGCAGATATACATATACTAAAAAAATGAGAATAATAGAGAGAATGCCAGAAAGAGAGAATGCCAGAGAGAGAGAGAGAGAGGTCAAAATTAACATCTTATTTTGTCACCTGGATGAGCCCCACTCCCTCCAAGATACAGCCCTTTTAAGGGGGTCCTATAATTACTCAGCTGACTCGTGGGGCGGGTCATAAACAGCTGGTCAAGGGACATGGAACCGTGGAAAATGTTCTAAAAATAAAAGATCAGAAATAATATTTTAGAACAGCTGGCACTTATAGTGCCAAAAAAAAAAGATTTAATATTAGATAAAAAAAATAGTTTTAAAAAAAAAATTACATGGCATTGTTTATTCTCCATCTGAAAGCAATGGGTTCAATGAGTCTTAAAATATTTGAAAATCTATCATCTTTAGAAACACAAGAATCATTGTACATACCCCACCTGTCAATCCAAACACCCTCTCCAGATCTGGTGGGGTCAGGATGTCTCTTCCCACAACACTCTCCTTAAAACCAGGGGCATACTGCTCCACAGTGTCAAAAACTATTAAAACAAAATGAATACAAGATTGCACTGCATAATGTCCAGTGTTCTGTATGTAAAACTACATGTTTACATTGGGTTTTAATTTTATCTTGTTATTTTTCCCCATCTAACCAGCAAATGAAATCACCCTGTTATAAAATCACCCAGGCACAACTGCATTGAAAGAGAAATCACTGCATGTCATTGTTGAATTTTCCACGTTTTGAATTCACTAAAAGATGTGAGTGATAAAAGGGTAAAAACGAAACAAAGGCCAAAAGCAATAAAAACACCTTTCTTACCAATGATAAACAAGAGGCCCAGGGGCCACAGCGCTCACCTGAGCACATCGGGCTTGAATTTACTCCCCCCCCCCCCCCACCAGGCATTCATCATTTGAACAAACTAGAATCTACACTACCTGAGGATGATTCCATTTAAATATCACTAATCATAGCTTTGAAGTAGTTGAAAAGAAGATTTTAAAAGGTTTCCCTATATATCCCTATGTAAAACTTGGGTCAGCCATTTTGGCCCCACCCTTGCCCCGGGGGTCATGATTTGAACAAACTTGAATCTACACTACCTGAGCATGATTCCACATGAGTTTCATCTTTCCTGGCCCAGTGGTTCTGGAGAAGAAGATTTTTCCTATGTATTCCTATGTAAAACTAGGGTCTGCCATTTTGGCTCCACCCTTGCCCCGGGGGTCATGATTTGAACAAACTTGAATATACACTACCTGAGGATGATTCCACATGAGTTTCATCTTTCCTGGCCCAATGGTTCTTGAGGAGAAGATTTTTCCTATATATTCCTATGTAAAACTAGGGTCGGCCATTTTGGCTCCACCCTTGCCCCGGGGGTCATGATTTGAACAAACTTGAATCTACACTACCTGAGGATGATTCCACATGAGTTTCATCTTTCCTGGCCCAGTGGTTCTGGAGAAGAAGATTTTTAAAGATATTTCCTATATATTCCTATGTAAAACTTTGGTCGGCCATTTTGGCTCCACCCTTGCCCTGGGGGTCATGATTTGAACAAACTTGAATCTACACTACCTGAGGATGATTCCACATAAGTTTCATCTTTCCTGGACCAGTGGTTCTGGAGAAGAAGATTTTTAAAGATTTTTCCTATATATTCCTATGTAAAACTAGGGTCGGCCATTTTGGCTCCACCCTAGCCTCGGGGGTCATGATTTGAACAAACTTGAATCTACACTACCTGAGGATGATTCCACATGAGTTTCATCTTTCCTGGCCCAGTGGTTCTGGAGAAGAAGATTTTTAAAGATATTTCCTATATATATTCCTATGTAAAACTTTGGTCGGCCATTTTGGCTCCACCCTTGCCCCGGGGGTCATGATTTGAACAAACTTGAATCTACACTACCTGAGGATGATTCCACATAAGTTTCATCTTTCCTGGACCAGTGGTTCTGGAGAAGAAGATTTTTAAAGATTTTTCCTATATATTCCTATGTAAAAGTAGGGTCGGCCATTTTGGCTCCATCCTTGCCTTGGGGGTCATGATTTGAACAAACTTGAATCTACACTACCTGAGGATGATTCCACATGAGTTTCATCTTTCCTGGCCCAGTGGTTCTGGAGAAGAAGATTTTTAAAGATTTTTCCTATAATTCCTATGTAAAACTTGGGTCAGCCATTTTGGCCTCACCTTTGCCCCGGGGGTCATGATTTGAACAAATTTGAATCTACACTACCTGAGAATGAATCCACATGAGTTTCATCTTTCCTGGCCCAGTGGTTCTGGAGAAGAAGATTTTTAAAGATTTTTCCTATATATTCCTATGTAAAACTTGGGTCAGCCATTTTGGCCCCACCCTTGCCCCGGGGGTCATGATTTGAACAAAATTGAATCTACACTACCTGAGCATGATTCCACATGAGTTTCATCTTTCCTGGCCCAGTGGTTCTGGAGAAGAAGATTTTTCCTATGTATTCCTATGTAAAACTAGGGTCTGCCATTTTGGCTCCACCCTTGCCCCGGGGGTCATGATTTGAACAAACTTGAATCTACACTACCTGAGGATGATTCCACATGAGTTTCATCTTTCCTGGCCCAGTGGTTCTTGAGGAGAAGATTTTTTCTATATATTCCTATGTAAAACTAGGGTCGGCCATTTTGGCTCCACCCTTGCCCCGGGGGTCATGATTTGAACAAACTTGAATCTACACTACCTGAGGATGATTCCACATGAGTTTCATCTTTCCTGGCCCAGTGGTTCTGGAGAAGAAGATTTTTAAAGATATTTCCTATATATTCCTATGTAAAACTTTGGTCGGCCATTTTGGCTCCACCCTTGCCCCGGGGGTCATGATTTGAACAAACTTGAATCTACACTACCTGAGGATGATTCCACATAAGTTTCATCTTTCCTGGACCAGTGGTTCTGGAGAAGAAGATTTTTAAAGATTTTTCCTATATATTCCTATGTAAAACTAGGGTCGGCCATTTTGGCTCCACCCTAGCCTCGGGGGTCATGATTTGAACAAACTTGAATCTACACTACCTGAGGATGATTCCACATGAGTTTCATCTTTCCTGGCCCAGTGGTTCTGGAGAAGAAGATTTTTAAAGATATTTCCAATATATTTTCCTATGTAAAACTTTGGTCGGCCATTTTGGCTCCACCCTTGCCCCGGGGGTCATGATTTGAACAAACTTGAATCTACACTACCTGAGGATGATTCCACATAAGTTTCATCTTTCCTGGACCAGTGGTTCTGGAGAAGAAGATTTTTAAAGATTTTTCCTATATATTCCTATGTAAAACTAGGGTCGGCCATTTTGGCTCCATCCTTGCCTTGGGGGTCATGATTTGAACAAACTTGAATCTACACTACCTGAGGATGATTCCACATGAGTTTCATCTTTCCTGGCCCAGTGGTTCTGGAGAAGAAGATTTTTAAAGATTTTTCCTATAATTCCTATGTAAAACTTGGGTCAGCCATTTTGGCCTCACCTTTGCCCCGGGGGTCATGATTTGAACAAATTTGAATCTGCACTACCTGAGAATGATTCCACATGAGTTTCATCTTTCCTGGCCCAGTGGTTCTGGAGAAGAAGATTTTTAAAGATTTTTCCTATATATTCCTATGTAAAACTTGGGTCAGCCATTTTGGCCTCACCTTTGCCCCGGGGGTCATGATTTGGACAAATTTAAATCTGCTCTACCTGAGGATGATTCCACATGAGTTTCATCCTTCCTGGCCCAGTGGTTCTGGAGAGAAGATTTTTAAAGATTTTTCCTATATATTCCTATGTAAAACTTGGGTCGGCCATGTTGGCCCCACCCTAGCCCCGGGAGTCATGATTTGAACAAACTTGAATCTACACTACCTGAGGATGATTCCACATGAGTTTCATCTTTCCTGGCCCAGTGGTTCTGCAGAAGAAGATTTTTAAAATTTTTCCTATATATTCCTATGTAAAACTTGGGTCAGCCATTTTCGCCCCACCTTTGCCCCGGGGGTCATGATTTGAACAAATTTGAATCTACACTACCTGAGGATGATTCCACATGAGTTTCATCCTTCCTGGCCCAGTGGTTCTGGAGAAGAAGATTTTTAAAGATTTTTCCTATATATTCCTATGTAAAACTTGGGTCGGCCATTTTGGCCCCACCCTAGCCCCGGGGGTCATGATTTGAACAAACTTGAATCTACACTACCTGAGGATGATTCCACATGAGTTTCATCTTTCCTGGCCCAGTGGTTCTGGAGAAGAAGATTTTTAAAGATTTTTGCATATATATTCCTATGTAAAACTTGGGTCGGCCATTTTGGCCCCACCCTAGTCCCGGGGGTCATGATTTGAACAAACTTGAATCTACACTACCTGAGGATGATTCCACATGAGTTTCATCTTTCCTGGCCCAGCGGTTCTGGAGAAGAAGATTTTTTAAAAATGCCATTAATTTTTAACAAATTCATGATTATCTCCCCTTGGAAAAGGGCGTGGCCCTTCATTTGAACAAACTTAAATCCCCTTCACCCAAGGAAACTTTGTACCAAGTTTGGTTGAAATTGGCCCAGTGGTTCTTGAGAAGAAGATGAAAATGTGAAAAGTTTACGACGACAACAACGACAACAACGACAACGACAACGACAGACAACGGACAAATTTTGATCAGAAAAGCTCACTTGAGCCTTCGGCTCAGGTGAGCTAAAAATTAAACTAAACTGGTGAATTTTTTTCAATACTGTACTACTCTGACACAGACTGAAGATACTATCAATATCAGAGTGAAATCTAAATTACCCGCTATTACACTTACCATTATCAGCATAAGAATTTTTATCCTGTTCTGTCCATTCCTTCCCATTAAGGTGGTATGGGGTATACTGTGTGAACATGAGACAAACATGAGCACCAGGGGGCGCTAGGGTAGGGTCTTTGCTGGATGGAATCACCATTTCAATCATTGGCCTGAAACCATGTTTTAATAATTTTAATATTTTTAAATGGAATGTTGCAAGATATTTTTACTCTAGCAATTTTAAACAGAATGATTAATTGTGCAAAATTTTACAATCAACTGAAGTTTTTGGTCTTAGTCGTAATTTCTTTTGTAAAATGGGCCCCTGGAATACTTGTATGTTGAAATTGATTGATGATCCAAACCTTAGAATACAAGTTTCAACATCAATATCTCAAACTCTTGGACATCTCTCAGATTTCTGACAGACCTGCTACATGTACATTTGAGAGGTTGGACTGTAATTTTTTTTGAGACCTACATTAATAAACAGCTTAAGCTTACTTTTTGGAGTACATTCCTAGCTGGGCATCCAGGTAGGCATCATGGATTAGCTGGGTGTCTTCACAGTTAAGGTGGATAGTACACTGATGGTGTGGCATTGGTTCATTCTTCTGTACATTAGGATCTGCTGTAAAATCTGGTAGTCTGCTCAGGGCAACTGTGTATAAATAGAACAGATCAAGTCAAATAAAAAAATTTATGCTGTGTATTTTGCTTATACATACAAAATGTACAGGTGCTAGCTATATCATATAATATCTTTTAAAGGTCTTAAATTCTGGCAAAAATTTCATAAAACCAACACTCAAAACCAAAAAGAACCAGAAGTCTCTGTCGAGACTGTAGCTCTACTGGTTTGTAATTATCATAATTCGATGCACTATTATATGTAAGTGTAGTCTACTTGTCTTATGTGCCAAGTAATATTGAAATCAGACTAAAACTAAAGAAGGAGTAGCATTTTAAAGGTATTTCTTAGAAAATTCTATTTTTAGTGACCATGGCAACACCGTTCATTGAAATAAAAAACCGATATACTGTTTTATGTATCTAAGTGTGGTCTACTTGTGTGCCAAGTAATGTTGAAATCAGACTAAAACTGTAGAAGGAGTAGCATTTTAAAGTTATTTCTCAGAAAATTCTACTTTTAGTCACCATGGCAACACCGTTCATTGAAATCAAAAACCGATGCACAATTTTATGTATCTTAGTGTAGTCTACATGTGTACCAAGTAATATTGAAATCAGATCTAAAACTGTAGAAGGAGTAGCATTTTAGAGGAATTTCACAGAAAATTCTATTTTTAGTAACCATGGCAACACCGTTCATCGAAATCAAAAACCGATGCATTATTTTATGTAACTTAGTGTAGTCTACTTCTGTGTCAAGTAATATTGAAATCAGACTAAAACTGTAGAAGGAGTAGCGTTTTAAAGTAATTTCTCAGAAAATTCTATTTTTAGTAATCATGGCAACACCGTTCATCGAAATCAAAAACCAATGCACTATTTTATGTATCTTAGTGTAGTCTACTTGTGTGCAAAGTAATATTGAAATCAGATCAAAATTGTAGAAGGAGTAGCATTTTAAAGGAATTTCACATTTTTAGTAACCATGGCAACACCGATCATTGAAATCAAAAACCAATGCACTATTTTATGTATCTTAGTGTAGTCTACTTGTGTGCAAAGTAATATTGAAATCAGATCAAAATTGTAGAAGGAGTAGCATTTTAAAGGAATTTCACAGAAAATTCTATTTTTAGTAACCATGGCAACACCGTTTATCCAAATCAAAAACCGATGCACTATTTTATGTATCTAAGTGTGGTCTACTTGTGTGCCAAGTAATATTGAAATCAGACTAAAACTGTAGAAGGAGTAGCATTTTAAAGGAATTTCACAGAAAATTCTATTTTTAGTAACCATGGCAACACCGTTTATCCAAATCAAAAACCGATGCACTATTTTATGTAAGTTAGTGTAGTCTACTTCTGTGCCAAGTAATACTGAAATCAGACTAAAACTGTTGAAGGAGTAGCGTTTTAAAATAATTTCTCAAAAAATTCTATTTTTAGTAACCATGGCAACACTGTTCATCGAAATCAAAAACCGATGCACTATTTTATGTATCTTAGTGTAGTCTACTTTTGTGCCAAGTAATGTTGAAATCAGACTAAAACTGTAGAAGGAGTAGCATTTTAAAGTAATTTCTACTTTTAGTCACCATGGCAACACCGTTCATTGAAATCAAAAACCGATGCACAATTTTATGTAACTTAGAGTAGTCTACTTGTGTGCCAAGTTATATTGAAATCAGACTAAAATTGCAGGAGGAGTAGCATTTTGAAAAATTGTTTACAGACAGACGGACAGCTAGACGGACAGATAGACAGCTAGACAGACAGACGGACGGACGCCGGACGCATTACTATCACATAAGCTCTTCTGGTCTCTGACCAGTAGAGCTAAACATTACCCAAAAGTTTCACCTGAAATCAAAAAAGAGGATAATGGAGGAAAAATGAAATAGAGATGTCACTTACCATTGATCTTAGTTACAGGGGAGGTAAAATCAAAAGCTTTCACATTGTCCACTAGATCTCTGGGAAGTTTGTTCTAAAATATACATGTACACATGTATATCATTATGTGTCTGAATAATTACAACTTACTTTAGAGATTGGTTTAAGGGATTTCTCTTATGATGATCGATCTGTTGTGCTACAGATAAAAACTTACCTCTTGGATGAGATCAAGAAATGTGATCTTTGGACTAGCATTAGATATCACAGCCTTGGAGTGAAGTTCTTTGCCATCAGCTAATACGACTCCTTGGACTGCATCATTCTTTGTAAGAATTTTTTTCACTGGCTGGAAAATTAATCATATATTACATTTTATGACACTCATTGTCTTGTACATTCTATTGCAGAGTTTTTTCCCTTACCATACTTGTGAAGATATCAGCTCCATGGTCCATTGCACAGTTACAGATGGCCTGCGACACTGCCCCCATACCCCCCTCAACATAACCCCATGCTCCCTTCTTTCCCTCCAAACTGCCCATTACATGATGAAGAAGGACATATCTTCAATATCAAAAAATAACATTTAAAGCAGATACAAAAAATTAAAGGGAACACATGACCCCGTCTACACTGTAAACTCTCTGACAAAGTGAGAAAATGTGTGATTCAATGGTCAATCGACTAGTTTAATCTGAAATTTCTTAATGGTTAAATCAATATTTTTTTGTGATTGTCTCACACCAATGTTGGTGGAATTAGAAAGAATGAAATTACAAAAAATTATAAAACATTTCTATCTGTTAAAACACAAAAACTGCTCCAACTGACATGCATACCAAGCATTTCATATATATATATTATATTTTGTACACAAAATACAACAAGTTAATGTTGAGAATTTGCTCCTTTCTTAATTAAGTTAGAATTTAACTCATCACCTAAAATAAAGTTTCAATGCAAAACCTAAAAAGATAATTCAAGTTAGTTGTATGATCTAGAAACCATTTTAAGCTGAATATATGATATAATTATTATATTTATGACCTTCGCCTTTAGACTTTTGACCTCAAAATCAATTGGGGTTTTCTCATACTTTTAGCAGAATAAGGGAATAAAATAATAAAACAAACATGCAACCACTTTGACAAATCCAGCTGTAAATACAATAACATGCATATTTGTACCAGCTAGTATAAAAGCTTCCTTGGGGGGAAAATATTGCATAACACCAAAGAACAACATAATTTAATACTTTTGACATTGTTAAAATTACCTTTAAAAACTTTAAAGGGACACATCTTTTGTTATCTATTGCTAAAAGTAATAATAAAACCCTGCTTTTAAAGATCGTATGCACATATTTCTAAAATAATTATGACATTTCAGATGGACAAACATATCTACAAATAACAAGTCCATACCCACTGCCCTGTGACTCTGGGGACATCATGGCTCCTATCACAGAATCTGTGGCCAGTGTGGCTTTAAGAGGCTCTGACTCAAACCATTTATTCAAAATCTGAAATGTTACAATTTGTTCTGTTTTAATAACTACCGGTATAGCATCAGATAATTAGCAAATTTAACTATTTTTGCTGTAGAGCAACTACATGTATTTATAAAAGGATAAAATATATTTATTAAGGAAGCTATCAGCAATACCATGCATTTTCTTTGCATGGAGCACCTATCATAGATATGATGCCAGTATATTGTACAGCCACAGTACTTACACGGTACCTACTGTACATGGACAGGTCAGAGTACCTGTCATAGACCCTTGGGTCCAACATCATGTACATATACATATTCCTGTATGTACATTACTGTAAACCAATTAACCCTCTTATGAGAAAAATATTTGCGAGTTCCACGACTGACTTTAACTCACAAATATTAATTGCTGTGAACCAGTAATTTTGCTTAGCATTTGTAGAGAATGTTTCCTCAGGCTTGAAAATTAATCGTCGCATAATGGTTTCAAATGGACAAATCATGAATAAAAGATGATGTGGATAATAGTTGGTTTACAAATGAGTATATAATTTTTGACAAGTTGATTTGGAGACACCCACAAATTGAACAGCACTCATTTTCTTAAAAGATATCCGTAATATAACCAAATGCCTTCATTTTTCTTTATACAGCAATGTACCAAAGCAGTACTGTACCTTTGTTGTGGGGGCAGTCATTAATTCATAGAAAGCGTCACCATCTGATCCTAACGTCTTCACTGCAACAAAAAAAAAAAACAGACCTTACAATTCTAAAACTCTGATCTGTTGATGAAAATTTACTCTGACTTAACTAATGCATTAAAAATATTGAAATTATTTTCTGCTTCATATAAAAGAATTCACTTACAGGATTTTAGCAGAGTTTTGATAGCTGGTAATGTTTTCAGTGTTTCTCTTAGTTTTCCACTGGTCAAACTTGGAAGATACGGGGGTGGAGAATCCAACAGCGGGTCAATGGCTGTTACAATGTCATCCAGCTGTTTCTCATACTCAACAAAATTCTGTAATAAAATAGGCAGAAAATTTACTTTAATTATAATATTATTCATTTGTTATTATGACATCTTTACTGTATATTTGTTATTTAGTAGATAAATGTAAAGTAAAGTCATTATGTACATGATTTTTAAAAAAGGAAAAAAATACAGAGATCTGCAAAGGATTAAATTCCTGAAATCTGCACTTTACAAAAACTAAACAATCAGGTATATATCAACTCAAGCAGCAACTCAGGCAGCAACATTTCCTTAATTCACATCCCTTCTCTGCCCATCTAATAGAATGATTTCAACCCACATTTAGTTACATGGATGTTCCCATGTTTGAGACTATCATCAAATTGAACTTAAGATATCCATCAATAACTTACTCTTGCATCTTTTTCAGAGAATTGTGCAATTTGTCGGTAAGTCTCAGCGTGATCTGGTCCAAGAGTTAGGGAGGAACCTGGACCTGTTTTCCCCAACAATGGTGTATAAGAACTAGGATTCCGAAGGTAAACTTTCAGTCCATATTTCTAAAATTAGAAAATAGCACAATACGAAAATGTATATTTTTTATTGCTGTTTATAATATATGTTTTATAATTCCCACACTGTGATTCCAAATGTTAAAAAATATATACACTGTATAGGTATTCACAAGGTGACATTTTCCTTGGGATAAATTTCATTAATCTATGAAATAAACTGATTTCATAGTGTCTTAATTTCATTTTGAAGATGTCTAAATAAAAATCTATACTTAAATTATATTTTTAAATATATCAAAAGTTTTATTAAATTTATTTTGTTGATAGATAATATCAACAATGAAAACTAAATTTAAAGCTGACCAGTATATTTATTTCATTTACCTTTAATTCCAGATCCTCTACAATCTTTGGTCTCAGTAAACTTAAAACATAAGAAGCCCTGGAAAATTTAAAACCTGTAACATAAGAAATTAATACATGTACTGTGTTAAAAAGCTGTGCAAAATTTGAAAAAGCATATCAAATAAATTTAAGGTTTCATAAAATAAAAAAACTTTGAAAACCTGGCACAATTTCTTCGGTGACAGCAGCACCCCCTATGACATGACGTCTCTCCAGCACACAGACACGCAAACCACTTTTAGCCAAGTACGCTGCCTACAAATATTATCACATACAGGTATATATCTTTCATTTTAATACTTATCAACGCAAACAAATTCAACAGATTTCCTAGCAGAAAATTAACTTTGTTTTATCTGTAAAATTCATTTAAAATATACCTTTAATCATTGAAAAAAATTCAAAAATTTTAAATTGATTTTTTTGCAGCAATACTTACAGACACCAGTCCATTGTGACCTAAAATGATTTAACTAATGAATTATTTCTATTTATTAAATGATTAATGAGAAAATTGTAACCCTAGAATATCACTATTTTTTATAGTAGAAGACTAAATACTATCTTTCAGCTTAAATTTTGCAGTTCATCTCCCCTTGTTTTGTGTACATCAGTTTAATGGCCCTTTCATAATTGGTGCATGAGAAGAAGCATGAGAAGAAGAGACAAAATGATTGTGCAACCAAAAAATTTTGATTTTGATTGCACCAGTAAACTGTCACTGAAATGCTTTGTTCCTCTCTCCATCATATGGGATAAAGAATAATCAGCTGTGGGTTTCTTATCAGTGATGATGAAAATTTATATGATCTAAAGCAACCAATGGGTGATGCACATGAATGAAATCGAGTGATATATCTTGCGTCTATAATGTGACTGTTGTGCATTGAAAGAGAGTGTACACGTTGTTAGATAATGTGATAGGATTGCGCCAGTGAATCAGCACCCTGAATGCCATTGGAGTGCGGCACTCATGCCATCATGCGAGTCGGTGTATGATTATACCGCCCTTTTCTGACACCCTTTGGTTGACATATCGTTATAGTTGAAATGCAAAAAATTTTAAAGATGCTGCTCAAGAATTTAAGGTGGTCTGAAACAGATACTTTAAGTATACAGGGTATATAAACTAGCTGCTATTGGTACAGCATAGGAAATTGATTACCTTATTATTTGTGCAATGATAGTACAGATTACATGACATGTTGAGCAACAGTCTTGTGGTTGGAAAACACATGCTTAGACAGCCGCGATTTATCTTACTTATACCTTTTTCATGTTTTGAGCACATTAGGCCTGCGATTCATCTTACAACCTTTCAATATGTATCACTCTTGCCAGTTCACAAAATGTTGTAAGATATTTGTACCATTGTTAATTCGCATTTTTGCGACGATGCATCAAGAGATAGATAATTTGGATTGTATTCAGTGGCTGTCGTATCTGAATTGTGTGCATGCATGTCCACTATTTTTAATTTAGGAGACTTGATGCAACCACTTAAATACATGCAACAAATCTGAGAGCTTGTTGGAGCTATAATTTTCCAATCGCAAAGTGTTGTAAAGCGTTCATGTTTCAACTGGCCAAATATGAAAGGACCTTTATATTTATAATCACACTGAATGTCACATGCGGTTTGATGAGACCAATCTAAATAAACACTGAATAAGTATCTGCGCTCGCCCTAACAGCCGCACCGTCAACATATTATTCCTATCGCAAAAGTGTAATTAAACTCTTTTTTTCAAAAACCATTGAAATTATGTTAATTCTTAGTTATGATTTTTTATGACTCTTCGTTATCTTATAATTTCTACATTCATGTCAAATAAAATTATTTTTCTAGTTAACTCATACCTGCACCAACAACGATTACATCATAGTTTGAAGACTCTTTTGAACTAAATCTTGTTGAAGCAGTGGAAAAGTGTCGAAAGAAATGGCTGCATTTAAAATTTCTTTGCTGTTTTAATGCATAACCAAGACAATGTTTAAAATGCATTGTTTGATGATTTGTTGCTGTTGATCCTTAGGAGGCTGCCATTTCTAAGTCATGTGACTTTTATTTATTTCTAGTGGATCTCTGTAAAAGTAGAGAAAGAACGTAATGTGATGTCAACAATATTTTTGTATTATCATAAAACAATAAAATCTACTTAGTAAAATACATAATTTTTAATAGAGTTACGAGAAATGTGCCAAGATAATGACAAACCTATTTTTGTATTTTAAAATTTGATTGCTACCTCATTTTACCCACTTCTTTAAATCATGTGATCGATCCCTGTCAACATTCTCAAATCGTCAAGATGGTGGATCGAAAGGCTTTGCCGCTTGTAATCATGACAGGTTTCTGGGGAGTAGTGGGCATTATTCTACCGATAATTGTACATTTCTTAATGCGAGGATCGCCCAACAAAGGGTAAAACAAAATTATATTGCCTCTTAAATTAGTAATACATAAATCAGAATGTCTTCCTACTTTTCTTTGGATCACATGATAAGGAATTCCTGGCTGTGAGTTCAAGATAAAATATGCAAAGTTTGACTTGGTATCTTTATTACCACAGTATACAAATAATCATTAAATTGGAGATTAGGGGCGTGGGTTTTTTAATCATAACAAATGAAAATCCGAAATTCCTCTGGAAAACAATCTGTACATCAGTACATGTGGAAAATAATGCCAGGGGAATTTCTTTTCCAATCAGATCTGATTTTACCTTCCAAGGCACAGCTTTATGCTACATTCTAAATTCAAAAATCCAAGCCCCCCTTTTCCATCTTTACTACATTCCTTCCATGTTTACTTCCCTGTGGTTGCCCACGATTTTTTTATACTCGAAATGTTAATGCTAAGGCTGTTCTGGCAGCCAGTAACAATTTAGTCTTTCTAGAAAGTTGGGTCCTTTACCATGTCTTTGGAGAGTCCCTTGACTCTCTTGCAAGACCCAGTTTTCATACTCTTAATCTACCATGTTGAGGGATGAGAATACATCCTATTTCCACTATGGAAGAGTTGTACTTCTTAGTGCACTCTTTTGTAAAAAAAAGTTGCAAAATGTACAAATCTCGCAGGATTTCTGAGGCAGTTGTAATTCACAAACATTTTAAATTTTTCAGGATTGTGCAGTTGATGCTAATGATGACAGCTGCTTGTTGCTATCTATTGTAAGTAGATGTAGAGATACCTTTTTCTTGTCAGTGATAATAAACCATATAATTGATTAAAAATATTAAACCAATTGAAAAGGAAAGATATATTGAACATATTTATATTGTGTAAAAATTAATACCAATCTCACTAAAATCAGATCCTTTGATCCGCTCTCATAGATTGCTACACAAGGATGTAGCAATTTTTGTGAGCAGATCAAAGGATATGATTTTAATTAGATTGAATTTAATACATTCATATAGCATGAACTTCAATAAATTCATATGCCTAATATTCAATATATTCATATTACATAAAATACAAAATATTGAGCGATTTAAACATTTTCTGCAGCTGGTTATGTGCATTCCTTTTCCAACTGAATCCATTGATTGGGCCACAGCTGGATTCTGGATTGATAGCGTTTATCCAGGCAGAGTGGGAAAATAATCCAGTAAATCCAAATGTAAGTATCCACAAATCACAAAATGCTGACATTTTATGTTGTAATGGCCTGTCTTCATTAAAATATAGATCGCAGAAATCAAGTACTAGTATATCAGTATGTTTTTAGTGCAGTAAGTTAGGCTATATGTTATAATACAATAAACCGTATTTATAATGAAGTGCTTTGCTTTGTTATAAATGTTAATGTTTATAACATCTGCTAAGTTCACAATACCGTATAAGCAGAATTTTCAGCAAGGATTTAATTTTGGCATTATTAGCGAGGGTTCTGAGATTGCTAAAATTAAATATCGCTAAAAAATAAACTGTGTTTAATTTGTAATAGCTTCATTAGTGAGCATTTTAAAATCGCTAAAATTGTGTCTCGCTAAAAATAAAATACCATATTTTATGGACAAATGGCTAAATTTGCGTCTCTCCAAAATTTCCACTTATACAGTATATTTTAAAGCCTCAAGGAATGTAAAAAGCTGTGCTATAGGTATAGATTCTTTTAAAAAATGTTCACTCTTTTGTTGAACTAATGTTAAAATACTTTTTTATTTTTCTTTTTCAGTGATTTTTGAGTAACGAAAGCATTAGTTTAGAGATGATACCCCAGACTGTTGTACATAGACTGTACAGTCCTCTGATACATCTAGTCACATTCCAGTGGACCTTACAGATCTTAGTGTGTTAATTGGGTCTTCTCATTGTACATTTATTTTGTTACCAGGATATTAAAAGTAAAGATTTTTATTAATACTATTAAATTTGAGATCCTCTAATATAATAAATACATTTGTTCTATTTCTTGTAAAATTACTGTTGGGTAAAGAAAACAATGAATGATGATTTATGTACAGGCAAAATTCAGTTAAACTGTGAATTTGAAATGTCATTCTTTCAGAATGAATCATAACTTGTAATAGTGTACTTTCCTTTTGACATGTGTGATTATGTTTCATCTTTTCATTCAAATCATCATGTGACATTGATTAAGTGCTTTGTATTAAATTTTGAGTTGTAAATAGGTACTGATTTTGATAACATGTAGTACATGTATTTATACAAATGCATAAACAGAATAATTGTTTTATATACATGGGTAATATATGAAATTTTGTTGAATTATGAGGATTATCTTTTTTTGTTATTTGTTACATGGTTATGACAAGATAACCAGATTTACATTCACTGTCTACTACTTTACTTATTAATGTAGTAGTATTCTACTACCACCTGCATATGGTGATTATGTCTCCCTTCCTTATCTGGAACTCAAGAGCACACTCCAAGTATGATCAGTTATTGAACTTACACAGGCTATTGACAAATGAGTTGATGTTACAAGGATTGCATCAATCTTTTTAAAGTCAGCATTTTGCAAATTGTACTTGTATATTGACCTAGTCAGCAGATACAACCAGTCACTGGGTCATGTTCTGACTGATGCAAATTGTACATGTACATTGACCTAGTCAGCAGATTCAACCAATTATTGGGCCATGTTTTGACTGATGTATTTCTTGTCAAAGCCATTGTTTTTTTTTACTAAATCCGACTGTATTATTCAGTTTACCTAATAAGAGCACATGGCAGGTTTGACAAGTCAAAAGGGGATGTTTACTCCTAGACACCCCTACCCACCTCTGAGATTTCTAAAGGTCTGTGTTCCATGCCCCGTTCACAAATTTGTATTGTTTATAGGTTTTTGAGAATGATCCCTGCTATTTTCAACTTTTTCCTGTTACCTTGAGTGCAAAGGAAAGAATCTAGTTGTTTTTGAAAAGGGCTGATAGTCCAGGGAGGATGTGCACACTGTGCCTATTGAAATAATTATTTGGGGGAGGTCCAACAAAAATTGCAAAATTTAAGTGGAAACATAGCGGAAAATAAAAGAGTAAAACCATAGTTATCATCTATTTGAAAGATAATTTTAATGTTCCCGTAATAAAGATTCAGGAGAACATGCATCAAGTTTTTGCCCTGTCTGTCTGTTTGTCAAAAATTAACTTTAGCTTTAGCTTGACCATAAATTTTAAATGGGAGGGCTATGGCTTTCAAATTTCATAGGTCTATTCAATCCTTTGGACAAGACCTTTCTTTGAGTCAACAAACTTAACTTCTTGAATTTGACCTCATAGTTTGACCATCTGTTGCAAAAATCCCTTAAACTTTAACATTGGCCAAAACTTTTGAAGTTAGTGCTAGGGCTTTTATACTTCACATGTATTTATTTGTGATAAAACTTTTCAAAGGGTATGAAAAATTTTGACCTTTATCTTAGAGTTTGACCCACTTCTCAAAAACTTTTAACTTTGGCCATAACATTTCAACAGTGAGAACTAGGGCCTTTATATTTCACAGATGTATTCCTTGTGACAATTAAGACTTTTGTTTGGATACTAACAATATTGACCTATACCTCAGAGTATGACCTACTTTTGAAAAACCAGATGTCTCTGTCGAGACTGAAGCTCTACTGGTTTGTACTTATAGCAAAGGAAGAGAAAAGTACTTATAATAAGCAGTTGGGAATTGAAACTTGACAACAGCAATAAATAGAATAATGATCCTTGATAAAGTCTCTTTATGTTCTTAGTGTAGTCTACTTGTGTGCCAAGTTATATTGAAATCAGTCCAAAATTGTAGGAGGAATAGCATTTTGAAACAATTTTACAGAAATTTCTATTTTCAGTAACCAGGGCAACACCGTTCATCGAAATAAAAAACCGATAAACAGAATTATGTATATTAGTGTAGTCTACTTGTGTGCCAAGTTATACTGAAATCAGATCAAAACTGTAGGAGGAGTAGCATTTTGAAACAATTTTACAGAAATTTCTATTTATAGTTACCACGACAACATTGTTCATTGAAATCAAAAACCGATAAACAGAATTATGTATCTTAGTGTAGTCTACTTGTGTGCCAAGTTATACTGAAATCAGACAAAAACTGTAGGAGGAGTAGCATTTTGAAACAATTTTACAGAAATTTCTATTTTTAGTAACCACGGCAACACTGTTCATTGAAATCAAAAACTGATACACAGAATTATGTATCTTAGTGTAGTCTACTTGTGTGCCAAGTTATACTGAAATCAGACAAAAACTGTAGGAGGAGTAGCATTTTGAAATAATTTAACAGAAATTTCTATTTTTAGTAACCACAGCAACACCGTTCATCGAAATAAAAAACTGATACACAGAATTATGTATCTTAGTGTAGTCTACTTGTGTGCCAAAATATATAGAAATCAGACCAAAACTGTAGGAGGAGTAGCATTTTGAAAGAATTTCAAAGAAATTTCTATTTTTAGTAACCATGGCAACCCATTTCAAATGAGAAAACCGATACACAGAATTATGTATCTTAGTGTAGTCTACTTGTGTGCCAAGTTATACTGAAATCAGACCAAAACTGTGGGAGGAGTAGCATTTTGAAAAATTGTTTACAGACAGACAGACAGACGGACGGACGCCGGACGCATTACTATCGCATTCTGACCAGTAGAGCTAAAAATTACGAAGGCCATAATGAGCTTCCCCTTTCTACAATTCATTTGACCTTGGAGTTTGACCTACCCGATATTCTTTGAAAATTTATTCTTTGCCATAACTTTTAAATGGTTGGTGCTAATGGGCATATTTCATGGGCAATGAGGCAAGTTTTTTCTCTGGATATCAACATTCTTCATCTTTTGATGACTTTAGAGTTTGACTTTCATTTGAGAAACTTTGACCTTTGTACAGGGGTTTAGTGTTTCACACACACTTCTTGTTTCTATATACTGTGAAATCACAAATTTTGTGGGGGTTTAATTTTAGTTGTTTTCGAGGTATGACGAGACCCACAAATTCATGTCCACCACAAAATGTAAAATGTTACATAAGTACTAATTAATTCTTGATCCACGAAATCAAATCCCCATGAACCAAGAGATTTTCCTCAAACCACGAAAATTTGACCCCATGAAAATATTTGATTTTACAGTATTTCTGTTAAAAGTTACCCCCTTTCTCCTGAGAATAAAAGTTATACTTAAGATATCTGTACTTAACTCTTGATCTTACACCTAGAAGCTGACTGACATCTCCATTCAATTAGCAGAAATAATGTAGTCCTCTAACTTTATTTTTTAATCTGATATTTTCTGGAGAGGCCAGGAGCACCCCCCCCCCCCTCTTTAAAAAAGAAGGAGAGGGCTGCATTATTACTACCATTCAATGAACCAGATCAATGTAAACTGAAGCTGAGGATAATAACAAACAGAATCAATCTCTTGAAATGAATTCAAATTGTACAGAGGGCAAAAACATGGAACCCTGGAAACACCAGAGGTGGGACCAAGTGCCAAAGTAGGAGAAAGCATTCCATCCAAGGGCTATATATATATGTAGCAGAGGTCTTGAATGCAATACAATAAATGAAAATCTGCTATAATAAGACTAAAAATGAAACACTGACACACATTTGATTTTGCCTGATTATTTATTTCTTTTTTTTTATGGTTACAATGAGGCTTGAGTGTAAAACTTAAAGAAATATTATATAAAAATAATTTACTAACAAATAGCAGAAATATAGAAAAGTAAAGGTTAAAAAAATACAATGTACATATGTTTTTAAAAGAGGGGTTATTAATGTAAGTTATCATCATAAAAAAATATACAAAGTAACATCTGAAGTAATTTTTTCTTAAACAAACAATTGTGCAAATATTTTAGTGGTAGAACTAACCCTAACAAAATCTTTTAAATATGGACGGAACTTAAAACTAATCAAGTTTGGTAAGATATGTGTTAATTGCTGCAGATTTGCAAAGGGTGTAAAGAGCCCTATCATCCATTAACAATTATCACAAAAATAAGGTGTACTTACAAACTTAAATAATATCACTCTACAAGGGATACATTCTCCATATTAATCATATTAATTAATATTCCTGTGCTTGCAAATGTAAGATATATATACATTTAAATATGTCAAAACAGATAGAAAATTGTAAAAATTGGACCAGTATTGAGAGGCAAAATAGGTTTTGTTAAAAATTGTAAAAAATGACTAAGTTGTAATCAAAACTGTGTAAAATACATGTAGGTGCTGACTAAATTTATACTTGAAATAATTTTTAAGAGTATACAAGATCTATAACTGACCTCAATGGTCAACTGACTAATACACTGTTTAAAATTTTTTCTACATGTCATGATGGATAACCATTTTAATATACCTATGGGCAGGATCAATATAAACTAATTACAACTAAAATTTTTCCCGTAAAGATGGTTTAAATGTTCAAGGTAATGAATTCCAATTTTTATATTCTATCCTATCTCTTACATTAACTAAATGTTACAGTAATCCAAAACTTTTAGAGATGTAAAAAAAATGCAATATGTACATGTATTTAAGATATGGATGGGTGAACCTTGTTTGATTTCATGTTAAACAGTTTGTGTCGTGAAAAGAAAAACAGATATCAGCATAACACTTTTTTACCATGTATTTTATGAAAAATATTTCAACAAATAGATATTAAAGATGTACATGTATGAATGGTGCAAAATACATGTAACCAGCTTTTTTGTTTAAAAAAAAAGATTACCAGTTATTACGTTAAAATTCAAAAACCTCTCATCCACTGGCAGAAAAAAATTCTCACATAGTGACTTCCAACTGAATAAAAATTTAATTGGACTGAGTGAATAGTTAACAAAAGGTTTATCCAAATACCAGTTGAGCAACAATAGCAACAAAAAAAACCCCAAGAAATTAAATGACCCAGACAATCAATCTCACAGAAGATCTTCATCGTCCTCATTTTGAGTCCATCCCTCCATTGGCTCGGGGACAACAGCTGACCGACCCTGCTTTTTCTTTTTTCCTCTTTTGACATTACCCCCTGAAGAAGATGGACGGCCTTGACTCGGCTGAAGGTCATCAACTCCATATATGTCTCCTGCAAACAAAAATAATTTTAATTCTAAAATGTCTTCAAGTTTTATACCTGTACAGTCATATTAGATATGAGTATGCATGAGACTCCCAAATGCTATAATTGTTTATCTTGTGAAAAGCTAAATGAGCATCAAAAAGAGATGAATGTAATTTATGTATATTCATAAAAATTGTGATTGACATTTTCCACAATGGTGACTATAAGGAAAAATTACCAAATAATGAAAAAAGGAGTCCGCCTCCTGTTTACTCCATTTAAAGGGACTTAACTCTAACAAAATTATACAATTTAATTCCACATGGTGGGTTTATAGTAACTCACTTGAAGCCAGGAAATCTTCATCCACCCCGTAATTCATGTCTGTCTTGGCTCTCTCTAATCCCTGCCTCAGCTCTTTACCCAACTTCTTAGCTGCTTTGTCATTCCCTCCAGTATCTGAATGTTTATAATGAAATTTATTTTAAATCTTGACATGTTTAAAAATAATATACCTGGTCTTATAGTTGTATTATAATGCTGAGCTAAATGAATGACTTTCTGCCATTTCAAAGTTCATCCAAATTTAATTTTTTACATAATAGACAAATAAGAAAAATTTGTTCAGCTTTTATATATAACCATTGAGGAAGAGGGTTATCTTGGTGATAAAAATAGAACAGGAATAAAACTGGAACTGCTTAAAGTATTTAAGGACTGTTAGAAAACATTACCCACAAAAAATTAAATCATAGTCAATACAGCTTAATATTACCTTGCACTGCAGATTTTATGGTACTTTCTATTTCAGAATGAGACATGCCACTTGCTGCTGTTAACTGAGTCAGTAATTCACGCTTCTGGTTCTGTAATGGAATGGAATTAAAACTCTTTTAAAAAGTTGAAGATTAGAAACAGTGATCAATCTCAACAAAATCTAGAATATACAAAAATATAAATCATTGAACAGGGCATAAAACATGGAGCCCTGGAAATTCTACAGGTGGGATCAGGTGCCTAGAAGGAGTAGGCATCTTCTATTGGCTGGTATCAGCTGCAGTTCTTTCCAATTCTCATGATTCCTCCTTTTAACTTTTTGAAGAATCTTAACACTGAGAGCTCTGATGACAGTGAGTTGAGTTGAATATAGTACTATTCTCTGTCATCATTGGACTTTTAGTAAGAAGTGGCATTCTCGACGATACGTAATAAGCATCTCTCAAATGGTGACATGGATTCTCATTGGTTAAGAAATTAATAATATCAGTAACTTTGAATTGTTGTTGACAGTGAGGAGATGACTTAAACCCCACCTCTTTTATGTATGAAACATTGTCATTGGATCATTGATACACTCATTGACGTTCGCCCGAAATTCGATCCCATGTATATTTCAACAGTGAATGAAAGGCTGTGTAAATTTCAGATGTTAATTACGTAACGTTGAGAATGCCATGCCTTACTGAAAGTCCAAGGATAACAGAGAATTGTACTAAGTTGTATTTTCCACCTGACAGTGAGTTGAGTTTATCTCCTGATTAAGTGCACCTGACAGTGAGTTGAGTTTACCACCTGACAGTGAGTTGAGTTTACCACCTGACAGTGAGTTGAGTCTACCACCTGACATTGAGTTGAGTTTACCACCTGACAGTGAGTTGGGTTTACCTCGAGTTCGGTCTGTAACTCCAGCTCCAGTTGCTGATTGAGTTCCTCCTTGCTTCTCTCTAGTTCCAGTTTCATCTCACTCTCCAGTTCTTCTCTCTGTTTCTTATGACGCTGCTCCATAAAGGCGGTATTCAGGATATTAGTAGCTTTACTGCAAAACAAAATAAAGAATAATTCAGTTAGTGTATGACAGAGCTGCATTTCACAATTTGTAAATTTGCACGTTACTTAAATTCAAAATATGTTTTCCTAAAAAAAACTGTTTTTTAAAACATAAGGGACATTTTCCTAAAACTTCCTTTTTCCCCCAATATTGCAGTTTGAAAGAAGAGAAGGGACATTTTCCTACAAATTGGAACCCCACCCCCAATCTTGATAATACATGAACTGTTTTATAGAAGAGGACGGAATAATAAGGTGAACCTACCCTGCTCCACGTCTACGAATTGAAGAATTTTTGTTGAAATCCTGTTCATCTTCTATCTGCTCTCTTAGTTCCCTGAAAACATCAAATTATAAACTTACACTCCTTTTTGTGTAAATTATCTACACATACATGTATCTCCTAGTATATATTTTTAAAGACCATTACATTTTCCAACATATGGCCTATCAATGTTTGAAATTTCTACACATGTATTTGATCCTATTTTGGTGAATAGTGTTCTAGGACTAGAGAGTCACATTGCATCATATGCATGTTCATGTATATGCTAAGGCAATATAAAACGAAAAATATTATATTGAAGTTTAATTGAAGCAATGTTATTTAAGATTCCAACAGAACTAGTACCAGAGCATTGATTTTTAAATAAATAAAATCATTTGTCTATTTCTGCAAAGAAAGACCTAGCTAATACGATTTTCTCTAAATGAGACCTACATTTCCTTTTGATGTTTCTTGGCCATGATTTTCTCCTTGATGAGGTTTTCCTGGTGTTCGCGGGCTCGTTGTAGCTGATCGTTTAACTGATCGACCTGAGAGGAATGTTGCTGAATTATAACGTCCACTCCAGTCAAACGACTTCCCTCCCGCGTCAACTTGTTCTCCAGTTGCTCCTGCCAAAAATTAGATTTATTTTAAATTTTTCAACATTTTTATTCTTCTCTTGATGTGTTAACTTATTTAACAAACAAAACTGAACAATGTACTGAACAACAAAATATTCAAGCATACATGTACATGTATGTGACCTTTAATGTCTTAACAAGGTCTATAACACCTAAATGTGGAATATAACAAGGTTTCAGTTGTAATCCATGTAAAAAAATGATTCTTCATGCATGACCTTGACTTTATAACGAAATCCAATTTCAGTATATTGAACCCTTAGTTACAAGTCATCTGAAACTATCTGATTTTTTAAAATTAATCCTGCTGAATTCTAGATACAGAGATTTTTGCCTACAATTCATTTATTATCTTGGGTATGTTCAATATGTCAACAGTTAATGCCTTTGCCAGAGTTCCTTATGCCATTGAAAGAAATGTCAAAATGAGAGCTGGTGAACATTCGCTCTGTTAAACAGTCTCAAGTGATAGGTAACTTACCTGTAGATTTTGTAATGTTGCGTCCTGCTTGCTGAGTATTGCCTGTCGTCGTGCCGCGCCCACCTCTAATCGACCAATCAGCTGTCCCAGTCGCCTCTCTTGTTCCTGTAATGCCTCCTGTGTCTCCGCCGCCATTCTACGCCTCAGAGCGGCCAGCGCTGCCTTTCTCTCCTCCTCCAGTCGTTTCTCCTCCAACTGTAGCTCAGCATTCTGATAATTAAATGTAAGTATGTATGAATTTTGCCATTTTAAATTTGCCCAGAGAGTTTTGTTAAAAAAAAAGAAAACTGTGTCTCTGTTGAATTCAACAAGAATTTTGAATTCACTGACTGACAACATGGGTCAAAAGGATGAAAATAAAGCAGGCCTGGGACAAAAATTTCCCTGTATGCAGTATTAAGTATTGACATAAATTATATTTAGATTTTTCCTCTCACCAGCTGCTGCTGTAATTTCTCTCTGTCCTCCCGGTTGGCCTTGGCTTTGTTCATCAGAGTTTCCTCCTTTTTACGTCGGACTTCAGCCATTTTGGCTCGTCGCTCTGCCAACTTGCTCTCCAGGCTACAAATACAATAAGATTGGAAAGGTTGACAAAACTAATGCAAACCAAAAAGACACATGAACCATTGTATTTTATCCTCAATATCTTAAACCATTGTTATCTCAAAGTTATTTCCCTGTCCTATCACTTTTGAGATATCAAGGTTTTACTGTACAATTTTATCATTTCTACCTAACTACAGAACTAATGGGAACACAAACCTTTTCTGTTGCTTGAGTCGACTAACTTGTAGTTGGTTATTGATGACCTGCAAGTTGTGCTCATGCTCTCTTAAAATCTTCTCCTTGGCCCTATAAAAAAATCAATAAAACCATTAACCCAAGAAATAAACAAGTTCTTAAACACATTATACCTGGTAAATTTGAAAACATTTTTACCATGCATGCCAACTTCTGAACATTCCCATGGGGGATTTTGCATGTGACACAACAACTTTCAAAGCTTTATCAATTCGTGACATTTTTTTGTAAATTTTTAAAGCTGCATTAAGTGTATTATTCAATAAATATAATAAACAATAAAAAAGAAAAAAATAACTTAAACACTATGTTAATTTATGAACATTTTAACAATGTATTAGGCGTATAAATCCTGCGTACTCTTCAGTGAGCTCGAGACTGGTGGTCAGGACTTTGTTGACGGTTGACGTCTGCTGGACGACCAGAGCTTCCTGTTCCTGGTGCTGGGTCTCCTCCTCCTCCTCCAGTTTCTGTAAAAATAGAAATTAGGTCACAAAGAAGGTCAGAAATCATGTCACAGTGTAGGTCAGAAATTAGGTCACAAAAATGCCATTAGAACTCATGCCCTGCCCTCTCCTTACAAAAAGCACAATCCATCCATAATGAAAAGTAAATCTTATATTGTTATGATATGAAATGATCTCATCAACAAAAAGTATGTGTACATATCTTAGTGAAACTTATATTTATGGCACGCCAAATTCACAAAAATGAGATAATCATAGTTTCACAATCGATAAATTAGGTTTATCGGTTGTAAACTATAGTTTACAAACCGTAAACTATAGTTAACAACGTTAATCTATATTTCACATCTGTAAACCATAGTTAACGCGATAATCTATGTTTCACAACCGTAAACTATACTTAACACCGAAAACAATCATTTGCGATTGCAAAACATAGATTATCTGATAAATACACTTTCACGATTTGTAAACTATAGTTTACAAACCGTTAACTATAGTTAACGATCTGATAAATATAGTTTCACGATTTTTGAAACTATGATTAACAACTCTTAACTATAGTTTATGATTGTAAACTATAGTTTACAAACGTGAATCTATGTTTATCAACACAATCTATTGTTAACGCTTATTACAGACAGATAAACTTATATTAGCATTCGTAAACTATAGTTAACAACTGTTAAATATAGTTTTACAGATGAAAACTATACTTAACAAATCGTTAACTATAGTTTACGGTTTGTAAACTATAGTTTACAGTCGATAAACCTAGTTTATCAAATGTGAAACTAGGTTTATCTCATTTTTGTGAATTTGGCATGCCATATATATTTTAGCATCTCTCACTTCAGTTTTACATTAGATTGCTATACAAACATGACATATATTTTTAGGAAAACAGTGTGCTAATTCATGTTTTTCATGATTGTGTTAATTGATTCAGAAAAGAGAGGTTGTGCTAAATTTTCAGCATGGCCTGCTAATTTATGTATATGTATCTTATATAACATATTGTCAACTGAAAATAACTATCATAGCCTAAATACTGTGGATCACTTAATTTTTGCGACACCTTATTTTCGTGAGATAGTCATTGACACTTAATTAGCGAGATATAATTTTCACAAATTGTTGTTTTTCCTCTATATAATTGTAAGGAATACTTTTAAACATGAGAATGAAATTTTCGCGAGATCATTGTCTCACATAATTATGCGAAAATAAAGTTCTTGTGAATAAAACGTGATTTACAGTATGCTAAATTCATTCATATATAATAAGGACAGCTCTGATTTTGAATTGACTTTAAGCTCACTTACAGCCATTCTTTCATTCAGTTTTTCCCTGAGTCTGGCGGCAAACTTGTTCCTTTCCTCTAATCTGTCCTCTGAAATATTAATTAAAGATGTACTTTAATATAAGATGAACTTAAATCTCTATTTTATCATTGAAAAAAGTAAGAGTAGCTACAAACTAGTCCTATCCTTCACTTTGTTCAAGAAGACTACTTTGTAGCAAGATTCATATATTTTTGAAGCTGAAAACTGTACATATGACATTGTGGAACTGTATGAAGACTGACCAGTACTTATTCTATATCTTGATAAAAGTCTTAGAATCATACCTTTAATTTTCCAACATTCAAACGAATACACTGTATATACAAAACAAGAGATGTTTTTAAAACACTTATGCCCCCCTCCCCCAAATTATTGGAATTTTACAAGTCCAAGGGGCATAACTCTATCCAAAATGGCCCGTTCGTACCTCAAACCAAACTTGACCTAGATATTCTTATGATAAATCTGTATACCAAATAGGGATGGGTATCGCCAAAAATTTCGTATCGCGATATATCACGATTTTTTTCCACAATATCACGATAATATCGTGATATTTTTAAAAGCAGTTTTTACAATGATTTTATATGAAAAGTCATTATTTTTCTAAAAAATATGCTAGAAAAACAGAATTTTACTTTCTTGAAATTTTTATGTATATAAAATCAATTATGTTTGGACGGTAAAATGCCGTTCGTTTCACTTTTTACAACATTTTCTATACTTTCTGTAATTGTAATTTGAAAGATTGAACAAATAAATGAATAATTTCTGGACTTTATAATATATACCTAAAAACCGGTATTTAGGTCTCCGTATCACGATACGTATCACGCAACAAAAAATCGCGATATACCGGTATACCGATAAAATCGCACATCCCTAATACCAAATTTCATTTCAATAAAATTATGTGCAACCTCTGCAAAGAAATTGAATGGAAACTGCAAATAAATGGAATTTTTCTATGGCCAAGGGGCATAACTCTGTCCAAAATGGCTCGATCGTACCCAAAACAAAAGTTGACCTAGATATCTTCATGATAAATCTGTATACCAAATTTTATTTCAGTATGTGCAACCTCTGCAAAGAAAATGAATGGAAACTGCAAATAATTGGAATTTTTCTATGGCCAAGGGGCAGATCTCCAAAATGGCCTGAACATACCTAAAACTGAACTATCAAATTTCATTTCTATATGTGCAACCTCTGCAAAGAAAATGAACGGAAACTGATGTTGGACCGACAATATGAAGGGAGGCATATCAAAGTAAAAAAAAAATTCATTTAAGGGGCACAACTCTAACAAAGTCATACAACTAAAAACTAAACCCTTCCTTTTAGTCAGTGCTCTGTATATCAAAATTACATGCATACATATGATATGACATTTCAAAGGAACTACATGTACAGGGTGGGAGGGTGTTTCATAAGTACCATAGATAATTTCAAGAGAGACAAAAATTGAAAGTCTAAACTTTCTGAACTTTTTTATATTCAATTTAAATTGCAAGCTTAGCAAAATTACGAATTCTGACCTTCATACTGCTGCATTCTCTTCTTATGAGCCTTTATCAATCTATCCACCTCAAACTTGTTGTCATTTCCCACCACTTCTGTAATGGTGGACACCATCTTGTCATTGAAATTCTCTATTTCCTTCTGCTTCACTTCTGCTTCTTCCTGTTAATCATAACAGAGAATGATCAGGAATTTCTGTTATTTTCAACTTTGTTAAAATAAAATACAAGTTTATTTAATGTACAAGTGTCAAGTTATAATATGACTTACACGATCAAGTTAATTATTATCCATTTACCTTTCAGTGAATCAATTGTCACTTACAGTTCTGACTTTGTCCAAAGCTTTTAACTCCTCTTGATCCAGTTGTAATTCCTTCTGATCCATTTCCTGTAGATGTTTTTCCTTCAACTCTAGGTAGTCCTATCAGAAAAAAAAATAACTACAGTAAAAGCACAAATATTCGTGGGGGATTACATTTCGTTTATTTCGTTGTAAACAATTATCAACAAAATTAAATCCCACACGAAATTTTATATGACTATATATTGAATAGGATTACATTCAAAAAAACAAAATTAAATGCCAACGAAACTATTTTTGATGAAAAAATCAACGAAATTTTATCCCCACGAAAATATGTGCCTCCACAGTAAGTTACTTTTAGTCAATTTCTAGCAGTTAATGCAATACTGTAAACCCAATTTTTACTCTGGATGACTTTATTTTGCAATTTACTGGGGGTAAACTAGTTCGCAATGATTAATTTTTGCTATAAAGCCTTTTTTTGATCTGTTGTTAATAGACACAGAGACTGTAAGGACCGGTTCGCGGTGAGAAATTTTTGTGATGATGAGGCTCTCGAAAACCTCGCGAAAATTCATTGCACACAAATAAAAGTTGGTTTACAGTATCTATTGCAACCATGTATTATTGTATAAGTAGAAATTTTAGCAAGACGCAAATTTAGCGATTTGTCCTTAAAAATTGGTATTTTAATTTTAGCGAGATGTAATTTTAGCAATTTTTAAGATGCTTTATAAAGAATCTATTAGTAATGAAACGCAATTAATATTTAGCGAAATTCAATATTAGTGATCGCAGCACCCTCGCTAATATTGCTACAATTAAATCCTCACTAAAATTTCTGCTTATACAGTATTGATTCAAACCAGACTTACATCCACTAAACCTTTTGTATCCGTGGCTTTATCCATGTTCTTCAGGAGGAGTTGTTCCTCTTTTTCCTGCTCCGCGCACAGTTTCCCTAGCTCTCGCCGACGACGCTTAGCCAGTTTCTCCTCCAGAGTCAACTGCTGCCTGTGACTCTCTAAAGAAATATTTTTTCAAGGGTAAACAAATATTTCTAACAAAGTTTATATATATCTTTACAGCTACAGCTGTTTGCAAGAAAGTTCAAATCACATTTTTGAACAATTGATTTGCGTGATGTGTCAGAAATGTTTCTGGCTTTGGTCAAATGAATAGGATATTACCACAATATCTGGCTTTGTTAACAGGAGTATTACTATTCTGGCACTTTAGATTTTGTGCTCTTATCATTCAATCAGCTCAGATCTTTATGGGTCATCCAACCAATATTTTGCCAAACTCTCTGTCTTTCTTAATTAGTTAGTTGAGATTTATGTAATACCCCTGGTTTTTGTTGGCTAGTCGATATATCTTACCAAGGTCCCTGGCTTTAGTAAGCCTATTAAGATCCTGTAAGTACTCGTTCAGAATCTGGTTTTTCTTCTTTTCGTTGAGTTTTCCATCCTGTACCAGTTGTTTGAGGACGTCCTCATGACTTTCCACGTTTTCTATGACAACATCACCCTCCTGTTGATCCTGGAGCTTCCTCATGGCTATAATCTGTCTCCGCTTGGCCAACCTTTCCTCAAGAGCCTGGATTAAACAAATATACTTTACTGCATTGCAGAAAATGACAGCATTTCAGTCTGTTAATATTTTGCTATTTGTATTGCACTTGACAAAAGTAATTTGCTATTTCAGAATTAACCTTTTTCTGATTTTGCCACTGTGCAAATTAAAGATTTATGTGTACCAAGATTCCATTTTTACCCTTTGTTGCCTTGACAACTGCAGAGCCTGTTTTCTGTCAACTTCAGACATTTCAGACAATAACTTCTCCATCAGTGCATCAATCTAAAAACAGAAACAAAATAAAAGGGATTGTACAGCAACTGTCGTATAAATGTAATGTATACTGATGATCACAATGCACTACAGGCGATTTAAATCTCAAAATTGCAACTTAGGAGGGAAAGCTTTTAAATGTCACAATTCAAAGTTAATTTGCTGATAAAAAGTACTTACCTCCTTCTCAGAGAGGTCAGTCTGTTTGTTTATCTCCTTCCTGATGAAGTCTCTCTCATCTTCATGAAGACGTGCCTGTGCAAAATAAAGAAATAAAAATAACAACTCAAAAAACAAAAAAAAAATCTGATTAGCAACATGAAGCTAAAAGCAAGATTTGGTTTCTGTCTAAAAAAAAAAGTACTTGTCCATGACTTATCTGGTGTTTAAAATTTTTCAGGAAGTCATATTGTTTTGTTACCAGTTTGTAAAAGCCTCTCTGTATTGCATTTTCATTATAACTTACCAGTTTTTGATTGGTTTTGGCATCCAGTCTCTCTAGTTCATCTTCCATCATAGATGTGTCCTTGTCTTTAGCATGACTTTGTATGATGACCTGAATGGCAAATAAGAATTTCTTATAGAGTCTAGCTTCTGCATTGTCCCTAGGACCTGGGGTATTCCAAGTCTATAATGATGTTATCCCCATGGTCATTTTGGAAACCTCCTCTTTGGGGAGGAACCCTAGAACCCCTTCTACTATTTTTAATGCCCCTTGCTATTTTTTCTAAGGATCTACAACAGAGAGTCCAATAAGGAAACCTGTCCCTAACCTGTTCTTCTTCCCTTCTTTCGTCTTCCAGCATCTTCCTCTTGTTCAGTAGATCTTCCTTCACATTCCTCTCTACGATTGATCGAGCTGGCTCCCCCACCTTCAACTTCTTCAGTTGTTTTTTAACCATATTGAACAGAACCTAAGGAAAAAGTTAATCTTTCTTAATATAATTGTATTATTAACCAAAAGTATACCTGCATTTATATTTTTCAAACATACTAGAAGTTCATAGTGGTCATAAAATCTTCATTTGTTCATATAAATATGATTTAAATGAGAATTGATAAGGAAAAAAACCAAATACCATTTTTTATGTTTGCTTAGTTAAAGACGACTCACGAGTTAATGATAAGCTAAAGACCAACTTTTAAAAAATAAGGTATTGCATAAAAACCAAAGCAAAAATTGCAATGACTGTGATAAAAATGTCTTTAATAATCAATTAAGAATAAATATGATGCATATATACTTTAATAACATCTAATTTTAATATTATCTTCATATAATATAATACCGGTAGTAAACGTGAGCAAGTGTTTGTTGTTGTCTTAAAAATCTATATTTCTATATACCTGGTCTTTTGCGTTCTGTAAAGCTTTCATCAGGGCATCAACTTTTTTCAGATCCTGTTTGGTCATCTCATTTTCTGCATCCTCACTGGAATATAAAATAAAAGCAACAACATATTATCAAACAATGTGTCAAATTGCAACATCATCTAAAATTACACACCTGAAAAAGACAAAATCAACTCTGTTGTTTAATTCTCTTTCCTGTGGACAAGAAATTAGAATAGTCAAACCTGATTATCTTGAGCTCATTGGTACTGAGGAGAAAAAAAAAACTCAAGATATAACAGGATTCATGATATCCAGTCTAGCTAGGGTAATACACATGTATATATAAGGAATACGGGGTTAAGAGTTAAAAAATCTATTTGACATTTCCATGATATTCAAGATATCAAACGGCGATTGTGACCGGTCAGCAGGGGATGCTCACTCCTCCATGGCACCTGACCCCACCTCTGATGTTTTGGAGGTCCGTGTTTGGTGTGCTCCTGTTTTGTATTGTATCATGGACTTTTGATCTTGAATACTCTTAGTTATCTCCATATGTTTCATCCATGCCTGATATTACAAAGTTCAACTGTATCCAGTCAAATTTTCCCAGAACTAGAAGAGTAAAATTAAAGTGCTATGAGAGCCTAGCCAGTAGCCATATTATTCTCTCTCACCTGTGAAAGTTAGTCATGATTTTGCCCAGTCCCTCGGCCCCGGGGAGGGTCTCTGTGGTCAGTAAGGGTCCGCCCTCCCCCTCCTCATCAGACTCCCCCTCTACCTCCCTCCTCTTCACTTTCTTCACACCTCTGTCAGACTTTCCAGACTGCCCTCTACCTTTTATTTTATCTCCTGTATATTTTGCTTTGACAATGTGTGTTGTTGTTTGGTTTTTCTCTAGTTCTTTCAGCATAGCTTCTTCATCTTCCTGTCTCTGATAAAAACATTGAGATGAAATAAATTATATACCCTTTATCTTGTTTTGCATTCACTTGGCAATTGCAAGATGTTTTCATTGTTAGAATATTTTCTGGTAAGGAATGCAGCATTTCATTTCATTACAATATCAATAATATTATATTCCTTCAAAAAATACAGTCAGTTTGATTGGTTTAGAGTAGTCATCTGCAGGAAAACAATTTATGCTGTCTCCCTCATGTGCAGAGTGACAACTGAATCTCCCTTATTGGCCGTAAGATGACAATGCATATATTAGGCCACAACCAAGCATGCAGGGGGCTGCAACTGTGTTGTTAATCTCTGTTGAGATTCTGCTGGGCTAGATATTTGGACTGATGCAGACGGCGTCAGTCCAATTAATATCTAGCCCAGCAGAATCTCAACAGAGATTACTGTGTTGTCTCCCTTTTGATGAACATAAAATATGGAAACTAGATAAACCTCTCTAACAGAGGTGAACTTACTTTCTTCTTCTCCAGATCCTTCAGACAAAAAGGGACACATATTGCTGTAAGCAGAGCACCCAGAAATAAACCCAGGAAAAAGGCACCTGCCATCCAGCTAGAATCTAATGAGAATTGATCCTGCACCAAGTTAACTACGGCTGGAACACACACATCAGACGGGGAATAGGGGAAGTAATTCCCCGAGGAAGCCATAATTGGTTATTGTCCTTTTTTCCTCTTTAGTTAATTCTGAAATTATATAGTTTTTCTTTGTGAAATGTAACACATTTACAGCAAGGATGATAATACCTAATTAAATAACTATATAAGAACTCTGCAGATCTAAAATATCGTACCTCTTAAAGCCCCAACTATTTAGATTTCACTGTCTATTGCTCTGTTGACACGTTTGGCGTTTAAAATTAGAAGCCATTTGTAAATAATGTGTGTTGCGATGTCCGGGGAGAGAATAAAATGAAGAATGACATACGGAAACTTGGTAACATCCGTTTATAGTTAAAAACACGCCTTTGTATTTTCACGTGTCGTTTTAATATTTTGGGCCTAGGATATTTCTGTAAAATAAGAAACACATGATTTATCAGAGAAAAGGTTATTTTAAGAATTTAAAAGAAAAAGCAGCGGAAATCCATGAGTGTTCCCGGTTATTGCTTGAGCCGAATCGATTCGATTATTATGCAAACATTATTTACTTCCGTTGCTATTCTAAACATGATCGCACCTGCCTGATCGCCGAAAATTTTGAAAGATGGACAGATTGCAGTGATTTAAATACATTGACAGGTATCGTTAAGGCTTTGAAAAGTCCTGCATGTTCTTCATGTTTGATGAACTACTCATTTTAATATAGTTTTTGGTATAACTATTATGGATAAGGTAATTTAAAGAAAATAAATGAATGAAAAAATAAATACATGTAATATATTTCTTAATACCTGGATTCAGACAACCAACAGTGTTTCCAACCTACATTTTTAATTGATGGCTTTTCCTTAACTATCTCAAAAAGGCAAACATTAACGAAGAGCATATATAACTGTACCATGGCATTGGGTTATTATTTCCTAACATTGAACATGTTAAACATTAGCCAAAGTACAGTACAGTTAAGGAAAAAATAGTCTGCATTTTTTATTCAGAGGTAACTTCAGGAGACGAAAAAAATCAGACATTTGAATTAATGCATGTCAAGTACTCCTTGCTTAGGGATTGTCTTAATTAGATCTCACAGTGAGAGCAGTGCTTTGAGCTCACTCAATGTTTAAATAGATAAATGAAGGATTTATATAAACTGTACATATGTAGTTTACTTTAACATGAAGTGGTCACCCATCCAATGGTATTATACAGACACACCATTGCTTAGCTTGCCTGAAATAGAGAGAGACTCCACCACATTACTACATAAGCCAGCTCTCTAGTGAGGCATACAAGTTCCCTATACATGTATACTGTCTGTTACACATCTACAAACTTTGAAATTCATATTCTCAACATTTCTTTTCAGTGAAAACAAGATGTTGCTGTATGCTGTTGTGCAGCTCTCCCTACTGGTGACCTGTCAGACATTTACAGTGTCTGATTTGACGGAACTCTACGTGGAAGATATTAACGTCACTACAGCTGATGATTATGCATATTATTACAATGTATGTTTTGTTAATCTTATAATGCAGTGTATTTAAACATAAATCAACCTTTTAAAAGTGAAGAGTAATAATATATCTGTTAACTTATGTTAAACTCATCTGAACAATACTTAATTCCCAATAAATGGACTTTAATATTATTCTTAAAGAATAATTTGAATCTTCATTTGATTTTTTGCAAACTTTTCAGCTGCATACATATGCAGAAAACACATCTGTAATTCCTGCAAATGTGAATACATCCTCCTTTTTCACTGGTAAGCCCAATGTGGCTGGCTTAGTGATGGATTTCACTGAATGGAAAGTGAATTCCACTGGAGCGACTGTAAACACACTTCCTCTGCTCAAAGTCATACAGAGATGGGAGGTAAGTTTATTTATAAAATGTTTTAAGTATTTGACTGAAGTTACAGTAAGTAATATATACTGAATGAGATCCATTTACACGCTGAGCCTTTTTAAGTCCTTTTCCATGGGAAACATAGTTTTGAGTCAAATAATAACGAGAAAAGCCATGAAATTAACATTGTAATAATTCTAATTTTTAGAATTAGAATTTTATATTTCAGTTGAAATAATTTTTAAAAATACTTACTAGTATTCCACTTCATAGCTCTGTAATGGGGGATAACACTGTTATTACATATGTCCCTAGAAAGCTAAAAAAAAAATATTAATCTTAAATGATTTGAAAAAAGGCAGCATCTATTAATTTTATTTTCTACTGACAGCTGAACAGTGCAACAACATCACCAGATACTGTACTGGTTTCCATGGTGATCATCAACACAGGCACCATACCTGCTGCAGATGTAACAGTGGAGTTTGACCTCAGTAATGGAATGTTTTCTCCTTACTCTACAATGGCTGTCAACACATCAGTGAATACTGAGATTGTGCCTATTTCTGGTCAAGTGGAGTTCAAGTGGAGTCCGGGTAACCTTTCAGGTATAGGAATTTCAGGCACATTCAGGTCTTGTTTTCAAGTGAGAGAGAGAGAGAGAAAAAAAACTTCCATTGAAAATATCCAAGGATATAAGATATCCAGAGTAAAATACAAAAAGAATAAGGGGAATTTTCAGGTACAGTCAGGCCTTGTTTTCTTGAACTCGAATGGGACAGAGGAAAAAAAAAACTTCCACTTCCATTGAAAATATAAAAGATATCAGATATCCAGTCAGACATTGTTATCTTTTTCTCAATGGGACAGAGAAGAAAAAAAAAACTTCCATTGAAAATATCCAAGGATATCAGATATCCAGAGTTAAATACAAAAAGAATAAGGGGTTGGGACTTCCAACTTACTATGATATATCGATGGTATATGAGATATCAGTATACAAGATATCAAAGTTCAACTGTACAACTTCCGTACTATAAGTATACCTCAGTGGAACTATAGGAAGAAATTTTTCATCAAAATTAAATTGCAGATGAGTAGAAATTTATGCAGGGTTATAGATAAACTTGTTTTGAACAGGTAAATTATAATAAACGCAGCACAGTTAAGGTTACAAATGGAAATATCGGCGATTTTTTAAGATAAAAAATACACTGTACATACTTTATTAGGATGGGAGATTCTTTTTAGGACTTCCCTGATGTAAAAAAAAATGTAATGTGGTTTAAATCTACATGTTGGGGACATTTAAATTTTTCATTTAGGCTTGTCACGTGATGTCGACGTCACATGATTTTAGCAATAATTATACTTGCAGTTTAGAGGTCATCTATAAATTCCAATATTGCAAGGGTATAACCAAGTTAAAAATCTTAGTTTAATTTATAATCCTTTTCAACACTTTATGTAGTTTGTGAAAAGTGCTGCGAACCTATATATATTCCCTTTTTTAATTGCTAAAATTTAATTTGTTGGACGGCAGGTTGAATATTTTGCTGGTCAACTACATTAAATATAGCTATGATTAATTTATTTGCAAGATTTCATGAGGTTCGCAGCACTTTTCAAATATCTTAATGCTTCCTGAGTTTATGTGTAAAAACTTGACAAGATACATTGAGGGTATGCCCTTGCAATAAATCGATTTATTAGGACCCTTCTATTACTATTTCAATGAATCTGAATACAAACACACGACAGTATCACTTGTATGGATAATGTACGGACAGTTTATAAATAAAATACTAAAATAGATATCGCATCGAAGTTAATGGCCTTTTATTTAATTGCAAATAATATTTTATTTGAGAACAAAAGACATTTTTCATTGTACAAAATGTGACTTGATCAGCCTCTCACTGTGTACAAACTGCGTCATTTTTGCGAGATGACGTCACATTGACAAGTGCATTGCGATCGATGCATCGTTTATATATTGTTGTGTGGGATTTAACAAACAACAAAACTGCATGTAATAGTAAGTTTGTAAGTAGTATACAGCTATCCAGCTATTTGAAATAGCAAATAATTTCATTTTGTGGTATTTTGAAGACCTTATATTATCTTTGACGTCATAGTAAAGATTTCCCGTACCAATTAGGCCCCGCCTCCTTACTTTAACCTTAACTGCGCTGCGAACAAAATTATATAAAGTTAACATAGATCTATCTTATGAGCCTTCCCATTTCTTGCTTTATTCGACAGCGGGACAGGAGAAGTTTTTGAGCTTTGTTGCAACCCCCTCTGGAACAAATGGAGAAAACCTGCAGGCTGGAGACAACATTTACACTGGCCAGCTGACTTTCACCTACCCTGTAAGATTTCTTTCTTCTTCCATATTTAATTTATCTAGTGATGATGAAAATCTTTGACATATATTCTTAACTACATTCACTAAGACAATAATAACTAGTGTTAATTAATCATGATACATGTACGAGGGGTGTTAGAAAAGTTCGCGGACAAGTTCTATTGTGAGCGCCCTATTTCCACGAAACTGGTCAAACTTTCCAGATATAATCTTGAGCTTTCTTCCAATAAATATACGAGAATTTGGTGCTTTCCGGTATTTATTGAAAAATATACGGCATTTTTATTTTGATAAATCTTGCTTCACGGAGCATGCTACATTTTGGCACGTTTACATCACAAAGACTCTTTATTAAAATTAAAAATTGCACAATTGTGGTGCCAAGAGAGTTGTGATATTTTACCTGCCGCTAAAGTATGCAGGAAACGTCACCAGGAGAAATTTTGAATAAAATTGGATGGTATATGACTGTTTTATAGCCGTTAATAAATGATCAACGCGTAAAAACACAGCCAAAAATCGGAACGTCATTGAGCGTAATGGAGCACTGCACTACTTAAAAATTATGTGTACAGACAGGAAAATGTCTAAAAAGAGATTGAAATATTCAAGATGCTGCCGGTAATATACTACACATACAAAGAACAAGTTTTCAAATGGTTGTAGCTTCATAAGAATGGAAAGAGTAACATTTTGAATGATTAACTCCATCGATATTTCAATACCCCTCTATCGCATGGACGTTGCATTGGGCCTATGGTTTTGCATAGTTTCCATACCTGATCGATTGACTGCATAGACTTTTTTTTATTTTTCAAGATCTCAATAATATCCAAAACAATACAAAAGACATTATAGTAGAAAAGTAATATTTCTTGATAAAGATATTCAATTTAAAATAGAAAAAAGATAAGAAAAATCTGTAGAAATGAAAGATTTATAGAACTGCGACAAAGCTTAAAGGGTTGAAATCTGGTTGTCACGTCGCTTACGTCAAGTGATTGCTCCGTGAATCCCATAACCCCATAGTAAAAATAGTTGTAAAATTTTAAGATTTTATTATATGGACCTGATTTTTTACATACAAATAAACAAAATGTAGGAATTCATTCAGACATAGATCATACTTCACAGTACACAATAGATTTTCTGCAATTCAATGTGTCCGCGAACTTTTCTAACACCCCTCGTACATGTATTTGGGTCTTTAACTATAAATTCAATCAAAATGCCATATTTTCATACAAGCAATACAATGTAGTGAATACAGTAAAAACTTGTTTAGTACGAACACGGATATTGCAAATTCACGAATATACTTAAGTTATCTTGGATCCCTAACTATATAGATTGAAGGAATTCCTTATATGGATATAACAAATTACGGATATAGCAAAGTAATTTGATTCATAGGTCCCAGTGACTTTGTTATAACCAAGTTTTACTGTAAATGCTTATTATATTCAAATTCTGCAAATGTGATTCAACTACCCTCAAGGTCAAAAGACCTTAAAAATCTGATAGTTATGAACTTTAACCTTTTGCAAATTTTATCTATTGACACATTTCTACTGGATGGAAGATCCTATTATTAATTTGTAAAAATTAAATCATCTCTGTTTTTTTCTCTTGTTTTTCTAGAGCATCCTGACATCAAGTGTTGGACCAATCAGCTTAGCTATGTGTGTCCATGGCATCCGAGAAGTGGAAAAAAATGTAAGTATATATAGATAATGAAGACAAGACATCTGATTTAACCAAAATTCTGTTAGAAGTTTCTAATTAATAAAAAATCATTTGACATAATTTGAGAGCTCTATACAAATAATTTAATTTAAGTTGTAACACTTCATTTGATTGGTTAAACGGTTTTATCCATTTTGTATAACATAACTTGCCTACGTCACAATGAGTTACGTCAAAAACGTATTACTCCGCTTGACGTTAATTTTAAAATAACACTCAATTTTAAACCTTTTTTCCGGAAGAAATATTGTCTTATTGTCTACCCTGAAATTAAATTATAAGGAATAAATCAATTATGTTACGATATAACAAAAATTTGCTTTCTTATAAACCGCTTCGCGGTTTATAAAGCGTAAACTGCCCCAAGTTATGTTATATCGGATAACATAAGTTGAAATAAGCTTCATTCCTTAAAGAACTCGGATGTTATATTTTGTGGTGTTTTAGATATTGTACCAGCATGGTTTTACAGCCCTGATGTTTTTCGTGGCTTTTTTCCTCGGCATTGCTTTGGTGATTGGAGCTGTTTGTTTGTTTCTGACGATAAAACGAAAGCGATCTGTGAAAAACCAAAGCTTTACACAGGTATGTAATGTGCCATTGTCTTCTACTTTAATTTCATATCTAACTGAAAAGATTTTTTAATACAGTCAAACTATATTATCTTAAACTCAAGTAAAAAAGTTCAAGATTTCAGCGGATTTGAGAATTATTAAAGGGAAAATACTTAAAGAATAAATGTTTGGGACTTCCAAATCACTTGACACATCCATGATATTTGATATAACCGTATTCAAGATATCAGAGTTTAGCCATGATTATAAAGATGGACATACAAGTTAATAACAATGTACGTGTAGTACCAGTTACAGGGAATTTAAAGAAATGGTATTTATATGAATGATGCCATGATCTTTTGCAGACAAACCTAAGGTTGTCAACCAGAGGCAAAACAATCCTGATGGACGACAGAGATGCAGACAAGACAGGCCACACAATTACTGACTTCAGGTAAGAAGCACGGCCAGTCTGAGAATATCCAAAGCTATAGGACTAAAATTACAATAAAATTCTTAAAGTGCTCAAAAATGTACCATTCTGAATTGGTGCTCATATATATCAGTGTTAGATCTTAGTACATGTATTACCATAATTATATAGATCATCATTATCTATTTGATAATTTTGAAATAATTCTGTATTTCTAATTTTTTTTTTCTCCAGTAATATCAAAGAAGAGGATTCCATTGTTGAAGTCCTGGTTGTCAAAGATAAACTGAAACGTTTCAGAGAACTAGACAAGTAAGAAAAGTAGGGGGAGGGAGAGGGGTGGGGGTGTCAAACTAGTGACAACTAAACACTCGTCAATAGCTCCCTGTTGTTTTTTAAGTTAAATGGGTAAAAAAAGAAAACAGAACCATACAAGTATGATGCCAAGTGTTACTAATTAATGAATTTTGAAATTACAGTATTATTAGAATGAAAATTCCCTGAAAGTGTTCAGGTCCAAGAAGATAACACCTTAAAAAAAACTCGGACCATTTTTTGATTTATGAACAATAGACTTCTTTCCTCCCCCTTAAGTGACAGAAAGACTTTATTTTAGAACAAAATGAGGAATGGATAAAAACAAATTAGTAAATAACAACTCATAAATTACCTAAACATATGGTAATGGCTATTTTTAAATTTGAGTGCTTTGATTTGTAGCTTGGACATTTTGTGTACCGTGAAGGCAGACACCGACATTGAGACCCAGAGAACAGACGCTTCCTTGAAGGTGACGGCCATGTTGATACGAGGCCTGATCCATAACAGAGACATTGGCCCGCAGGTGTACGAAGCCGCCGACAAAAACGCCAAGCAGCGTCGGCTACTGTTGGATGCTAACCTGGACGACGAATTTCAGCGACAGAACAAGAAACTCAGAAAGAAGCTGGCGGCGAAGAATAAGGTACTTGTGAGAATTTGATGGGAACAAGGGGGAAAATGAGTCTAAATGAAAGTTGTCTTCAAGAAAAGCAAAGGGTATTCCCTGCCTTATGTTTGCCTGTGCACTTGTATAGATATTATAGAGAAGTTGTGAGTAAAACTTACAAGATAAACCATTTTACAAGAGCTTTATCTAGTACAGCCTTGCAGAAATTATACATTTGCCATTTTTGTGTTGCAGGCCAAATTGTCCAGGACACTGCAGAAACAAAGGGATGAGAAGAAGAAACTTGTCAGTGATATCGCAGATCTGGGTGACAATGTAAGTCTATTACATGTAACAAGATGGTTTTATAAAAAAAAAATTATTGGATGTAATGGCTATTGCATGCTTTGGTTATTTTTGTTATGTTTGAACATATTGTAATGATTATAACATGATATTGTCATATCATGTGTAATTAAGGTCTTCCGTTTCCAACGGAAGACCTTATTGTTTTTGTTCGGTTTCTTTTTCCCTATTATTATTATTTTTTTTTTTTTTCTTACCGATTTTTGTGCACGCGAGTTCTCGGAAACGGCTTGGTCGATTTTCATGAAACTTTCAGATCTGATAGATATTGGTCTGAACCTTATTGGAAATTTTTTATAAGTACGTCGTCACTTCCGGTCGTGAGATATGGACGATTTACTGATTTTAAGAGGGTCAGCTTGTCCTGGCAATCAGTAAAAAACGAATGAAGATATTGACTTGAGATTTTCAGTGAACGTAGAGGAAGGATTGCTAAATTGCTTTTTTGAGTCTATATCTTTCCAGCGCAAAAGGCGTTGAAGCTCGCCTGAGCTCGTTATAATCATTATTTTTCAGACCATCAAATTTTGTGCACGTGATTTCTCGAAGACTACTGGATGGATTTTTGTGAAATATGCAGGAACAATGTGTTAATTGCTATCTGAAGTTATTATATCCTGGAGATTTTTTGGAAATTCCTTTCTGGTGCCAAGTTACGGACAATTTCCTGATTTTAAAATGACATTTTGTTCGCGGATAATCTAAAGAACGGTAAAAGATATCACTGTGAAACTTTCAGGGATTATAGATCGTGATAAGTACTATCCAAGACGCGATCATTTGTACGTCGTCTCCACTTCCTGTCGTAATGGCATGCAAATTTAAAAAGTCGAATTTTTAAAACTTTTTTGTTTTTCAATATTTTCAAAATATATTACTATGGTTGATAGAAACATTTCTTATTATGCTGAATATATAATTTGTTTGTAAATTGATAAATTCAAACTCGAGATATTAACATTCAAAAATCTGAAGCGGGACCAAAATGGCGGCTGTTTCTGTCAATTCTGACATTTCGCAATAGGGGTTTACAGAGGCAGCCGAGCGTTTGCTTGAACGAAAGTAACATAAGGAGCAATGAAATGTGTAGGGATACTTGGATTGTCACCTCTTAGTTTCGTTGCAATTCTGTGTCAAACTACATTTATAATCCAAGGTCTCCTTACAAGTCTTCTTTAATTGGTTTTGGTTGTTTCTCAAAGTAGCAAATGAAGTACAATATCTACATCTTTTGTTTTGCATCACGGTAACACATAGCTTAAATCATAGTTATAATTAATAGTTTTTCAAGAAACAATATATACGAGGGTCATTCAAAAAGTTCGTAGACTTTTGTCCTAGCTTTTTTATTTAACGTCATATTATGTCCAAATTTGGTACAAATATTTTAACAATAGATTCAAATAATTTGAGAAAAAAAATTGGAATGTATCCTAATATTTATTAAAATTACCAAGGATTTAGAACAGCAAAAATGGGTCACAGAGCACCGTCAAAATTGAGTAATTTTCTAATTTTCACTTTATAGTATTTACAGCTTTACCTCTAATAAATGGAGCTGAAACGAAATAAAATTTACATGTTTAAATTAAGTATTGCTGTATTAATTAAAATGAAATCAGGTTATGTAATATCTCGTTCCATTTAAAAGATATCAGCTTCTAAATACATATGGACTTGATTAAAAAAGGCAAAAAACCATGACGTTGGAGGACGTCACGGAGCAGCAAGTAGCAATAAAATTAGACTTTACATTCGGGAAACTTTTTCTACAAGCTTAAAAAATCCTTATAAATCAGGATCTGTATGAAAAAAATCTGTGTATTTGTATTAAGTTGAAAATACAATAATTGAGTGGTAGCGAGTTGGAATCGGACGATGGATTGTCTGCAAAGAAACAGGTTAAAGTTAAAAATATTGTCAAAATAGTTAGGCACGTTATTGAACGTGATGTGTGCTTCAATGTTGCAGAAATAATAAAGTTGCATGGTAAATCAAAGAATTTGAAAACAATATCATTCTAATTCAAGCTATATCTGTACAATTGATAGCAAACCAGGTGTTAAGTATTGTGGAGAATGGAGAAGACGCAACAAACCGTGTTTGAAATAACAAAAATGTGTCTACTTTTACAAACTTGCTCAGCGTTGTTTTTGACGTTACAATATTGGTTAACCGTGCTCCGTGGTAACAAAACATGTTGCTTTTAATTTTGGCTAACGTGAGTTCTGTTTAATCAAATGGAATGAAACTTCACACTTCGACAAAATAAATGTTTATGTTTACGAAAAGGTGTTGATCTATAATCTTGTAATAATCATATGACGATGAGAAGCATTGTCTACGCATTTTTTGAATGACCCTCGTATACATGTAGTAAGTACAAAACGTGACCACTGTTTTCCCATGCACACTTGTGTCATATTAAATTAACAGAAAGGACAACTGTTACAATAAGAAAATATTTTATTTTTAAAGATAACAATTTTTCAAAGACCGTTTAATTGACCTATATAAACATTTTATTTTCTCAATGCAAGTTATTGAACATAATGGAATCTTATTCCTTGACCCTCGTAGGGCGATCGAGGCATTTTTTTTCGGTGAAACATACCACCTTTTTTATGAAAGTGTAAGTAATCAGAATGGTCAACTTTCGTGATTGAAAATTGAAAAATTAACCATTCATAGCTGTTTCACTGCTTTAGTGTTATTTGCCTATATACGATATGTTACATGTATGTGTTAAATATACTTTCCACACCTCAAAATTTAGGCGATAAGAACGCTCTTTTGTTATTTGATTGAAGCTATCTCACCTATTTAAATGAACATTCCAAGAGAAATTCGCTAAGATTTACTCCTTGCGTTTGGCGCGAAATTATGAATCGTGACCCTCCTTTCATAATTCCAAGACAGATTAACTGTTGCAGAAATATATGTACATACAAGTGAAGTAAGAGTAGTTGTTCAATAGCGTAATCGATAAGCGTATTGGATTTTCACGCTAGTGACCTGTTTCAATTACCAGTGTGTCCAAAGTATGTTTAATCCATTTTTAGCTCGATTTTATGGGTTATTTTTCGGAATCGGACGGAAGACCTACTCGTTGCTCGCAACGAGATCGTTTCTAGTTGTTTTCTATTTTTACTTGCACATGTATTTGCTATCACACATAATGATTATTGTATCTCATTGAAACTGAAATGTTTTTTTATGGACAGGAGAGACAGCAGTTACTGGACATGATGGACAAGGAGCACCAGACAGAACTGGACGAGCAAGAATTCCTCCTCAAACTTGAGCAAGACGAGGAGACCGAAAACCTCAGGAAGGTCTGTCCTCATAAAAAATTAATCCTCATTCGATCTAAATCAAACACTACAGAAAACCTCAGGAATATCTGTCCTCATAAAAATCAATCCTCATTCTGTCTAAATCAAACAAAACAAAAAACCTCAGGAAGGTCTGGACTTAATGTCCTCATAAAAATTAAACCTCATTCTATACAAATGAGACAAAACAGAAAACCTCAGGAAGGTCCTTCCTCAATGTCCTCAAAAAAATTAATCCTCATTCTATCTAAATCACACACAACAGAAAACCTCAGAAAGGTCTGTCCTCAGTAAAATTAATCCTCATTTTATCTAAATCAAACACAGCAGAAAACCTCAGGAAGATCTGTTCTCAATGAAGTTAATGATCTCATTCTATCCAAATCAAATACAACAGTATATAAACTTCAGGAAGGTCTGTCCTCAGTCTCCTTATAAAAATTAATCCTCCCTCTGAATTAAACAGAACATTTCAGGAAGGTCTGTCCTCAGTGAAGTGTTAATCATTATTCTGTCTTAGTCATACACAACAAAATACCTCAATGAGGTCTGTCCTCAATAAAGTTAATCCTTATTAATCTAAATCAAACACAACAGAATATTTTAGGAAGGTCTGTCTTCAATGCCTTTATTACATAGATGTTGATTTTGTCATTGGCAGAAATTTGCTGCGAGAAGCTTGTTTGATATTTTGAGTAATAAAATGTTGATTTTTTTCGTCGTTGACAGGAACTTGTTGTGAAGACAAGCTTGTTTTTTTTAGCTATGTAATGTTGATTATGTCATTAAAAGGAATTTGCTGTGAGAAGAAGCTTGTTTTAAAGTATTTTAATTTTATTTTATCGTTGACAGAAATTTGCTCTTAGGAAAAGCTTGTTTTTTTGTGTTATATGTAATGTTGATTTTGTCGTTGATAGGAATTCGCTACATTAAGAAGAAGCTTGTTTTTTGTGTTATATATATGTAATGTTGATTTTGTCGTTGACAGGAATTCGCTGTGAGGAGGAGGATGGGCATGAAGGAGATAGAACAGGACCTGTTGGAGGACGTCATGCAGCAGGGCCACCTGGTGGGAGAGAAAGCTGATTGGCTGTTAGAGGAACACCGCAAGATTCAGAGCGAGCTGGAGAGGAGATATGATGAGGAAGTGGCCAGACAGAGGTTTATACTGGAGGAGAAGTTAGAGAAACGGAAGGCCATGGCTAAACTGGAGGTAGGTTTCTGACTATTATGTATCTATGCATTTGTACACAAGAAAGAAATGTGAAATATTTACCAAATTGTATGAAACCGAGGTCCCAAGTTGCAGTAGGTGCTATCACATAAAGATCCATCCTTGCTCTATGCATATGGCTGTAAGTGCCGAGCATAGGGCAAAATTCGCACCGGCAAGTGGTGGCGTCTCCATATGAGTGAAAAATTTGAGAGAGACGTTAAACCACATACATGTATAAACAAACCAAAATGTATGATGAATTTGTTTCTTATGGATGTTAAATTGTTTTTATCTTTGATATTAGGAACAACAAGAAGATGATGAAAGTGATGTGTTGAACACAATGGCCAGTCATCAAATAGAACTTGTGAACAAAGCTAAGTCCAAAAAGTAAGTCTCAACCATGTGGCAATTTTTAATGCAAATTTTCAAGCACAAGATACAAAGTTGAACCTATCAGTTGGTTGTGCTATAGCGACAATTGCCATATGATTCGCAACTGTTGCTAAATTTTGATGACAGCTAGCTAGGGACCTGACATGTTTACTAATTTTTAAAATTTGAATGACAGGGTAGGGGGCCTGACTCCTGATGAGGCAGCAGAGTTGATTGCCTCAGCCAAGGCAGACATGGTGGCCTTAAAGGATAAACTCGACAAAGACAGACAGAAACAAGAGACGGCGCTGTCTAAACGTCTCGGAGAAATGAAGCGGAAAAAACTGAACCAGATGGTGAGCTCACAATTATCAAATAATAATATTTGAATTTTCATAGTATAAGCATGTTCATGTATTTCATTTTGCTAGCATGTGAAATTCTCTAAGACTAGCTACATGTATTGATCAACTTAAAAAATATGTAGACAAGTCCTGCATATCAATAATTGCAATAGTACAGGGGGTCTGAAATGTTAAATAATTGACTTTTTTATAAAAAATGCTAGACATGTTTTATTGTAAACAAATAATTTAGATTTGAAAAATGCTTTTATTTTGTTGTTTTTTGCACCTTTGTTAGCAATGCCTGCACTTCAGTTTCAGTAGATTGGGGGCACTGAAATGCTAAAGATAGATAATATGTATTTTATTGTATATATTGTACTTATTGTGTACTTATATACTTATAGTATATATGACTTTATATTTAAGAAATCTGAGCAAAAGGGGGAGATGGATAAAGTTTTGAAGACTATGGAGACCCAGACAGAAGGACCAATAGGTATGATATAAAGAATAAGTTAAGTTAGATTTGTACTTAATCTCATTTACTCTACAGACTTAAAGAGTTCATAAAGCAGTTGTAATATGAAACATGAATAACAGAATAAAATTTCATTGATAAACAATTTTGATTCATTTCATAAACATAACTGGTTATAATGGTTCAATAAGTTCAAAACACAGGAAATGAAAATCATTTCACTTTTAGTGAAAATTCAGTATAAATGTGTTAGCTATAACCATGTTTAATTGTACTTAGGGAACATGTGTTGACCCTTAAAATTTATCTTTGTAAGATCCACTCATGTACATTGAGACAAAGCTCAAACTGGAAGCCAAGCATCGAGATGAGATAAATGAAGAGGAGTCCGAGATCGATGAAAATCACGCCGAGCAGCTACGCGAGCTCAATGACCAGCTGACTGAACATGCTAAAGACGAGATGACTCAAGCTGAGAGGAACTTGATTAAAAAGATAGGTGAAATAAGTAAGTGTGCAGTTTTATGTTTGTATAAAAAGAATTTGAGTTGTGTCTTATTCTCCAATACACTGTATTGCTTATGTGGCAGTCAGATGGGTTTGATTGCCGGTGGCCAGATAGCTCAGTCGGTAGAGCACATGACCGTAGATTCAGAGGCCCCAGGTTCGAATTCTTATCTTGTCTACTGCATTTTTCTCCTCTCCTGTTACACTTGTACTGTAAAATTTAAATAGATATTAGAAAAAATTACTCTTGTAATACATCAGAATAACATACAATTTTTTCTGCAAAACACCTGAAGAAGTGAGAGTCTGGAGCCCATATATTTTTCAAAACCGTTTTCTACACATATCATCTGATAAAATGAGTTACCTTGTAATGTTACAGATAATGTGTCCATGGACCAGTATGATAAACTGCTGAGTCAGCATGAAGAGGAGGTGGCCCGATTACAGGCTCAACAGAAACGGTCCCAGGAAAAACAGAAGGCCAATCTTCAGGTTAGAATCACCCATATTCTTTAGCCTTTCAATTTATTCTCTTAAAAATTGTTGTTATGTCAATCTCTAATCTGTTCAAAGCAAAGCTTGCTTTCATGTAATACCTTCAGACTGGAATCCCTGCCATTCTGCCATTTGTTACAATATTTTATTCTTCATGTAAAAATGATATTTCTAAAATTAATTTCAAATATATTGATAGGAGGCTATCCCTGTTGTATGAAATATTCTTACATCGAAAACTGTCTCATTCAACACTTGTGCAATTCATTTCACTGTGTATTCTGACCCTTCATTTACTCCAATCTTACTATTTTCCATTGACTTTATGCTTTGTACTTATAGATACCCAGTCTATTTTGACAAAAAATGTTTCCAAGTGCATGAATGTGTCAGATTAAACAGGTTTCACTGTAGAATTATTGATATCTGTTTATTAGAAAGTATTCAAGCATGTAACCAATGTTTTCTTTATTTTATTTGTAGGAGAAGCTTGCCAAGGCTAAGGAGGAATGGAGACAGAGGAAGGAACAGGAAAAGGTGGAACAGGAGGAAATCAGGAAACGGGAGGATGAGGTTGTCAAGTAAGTACAGGTGCACTTAGGGCAACAAAATTATTCTTAATTAAATAAGATAAGTGCATGTGAACCTAGGAAACAAGTAGAATTTCATGGGTTTTTTCTTTTGCTTGTTAGAATTTTTAATAGAAATATTAAAACTTAAAAGAAAAAGGTGAGCATTAGAATTAAAAGTAATCTTTTTGTTGACAGGAAGTTGTTGAGTGGTCAGATGTCCATGTCAGAGGAAGAGAGAGACAGAATCATGAAAGAACACGAGAAACAGATGGTCAAAGTTGAGAACAGGTCAGAAATTTTAAAATTTATAATTATGCACACAATCATAAAACATTACTGAATGCTACCTTTGTAAAATTCAATCCCTTGAAAAAGAAATCTTCATTATCATGAATGTGCATTTACTTTTATTTACAGTTTAACTTTGAACAAGCTGAGACAGAAGAGAATCCTGGAAGACAAACTGGCTGCCAAGCGAGCTTTACAGATGGAGAAATTAGAGAAGAAACAGTCACTGGAGTACGAGGTTTGTCAAGCCGCGCATAATTCTGTCCACCCCAGAAATCACATAGGCTTTGTCTAGCCATACACAGTAGTAAAGTTATTGACAAATCTCATTTTAAAAAAATGTTGATGGGGCCAAGAAAAAAAACATATATCCAAAGATTCAAGATATCTATTTATGTTTAAGATACACATAATAAAAACAGTGGTACTTCCAACACTTATCCTTATCCATGGAATTAGAGATATCAAGGTTCAAGATATGGACGTTCAACTGATACAGGGCTTCTATCGAGAAAAAAAAAATACATGTACATGTATTAATGAAATTGATCCAAATATTACAAAAAAATGTTTTTAATTAATAATTAAAAAAAAAAAAAATTTATGTAGAAAAAGATGAGACAGATAGAACATAATGGGGAGGAGTCAGATCCCGAGAACCAGAGAGAAAAGCTGGAGCTGATGAGGAACCAGTTTCATCAGAAAATGGCCGTCCTCCAGGGCCAGAAACTCAACATTGATGATGAACTGGAGATGGTATGTCTGTTAAAATGTTACTTTATCATTATTTTTCTTCTGGATCTTTATTCTTAATTCATTTGTTTATCAACCAATCTTTTGTTTTAAGGCTTTACAGATTATGCCTCCAAACATTTCTTTTTTGTATTTTTTCACTGGTATAGTTTTTGTATTTACTCATGGTATTGTCATATTCAAAATTGATATTTAGCTAGAAGAAATCAATTACGCTAGTTCATAATGAAATAATGATTTTGAATTAAAAGGTGAAAATTGAAATGTTGAAAGAAAGAGCACTAGCCCTGAAAGACCAAGAGGAGCAGCTAGGGGCCATGGTGGCAGCACTTCAAGTAGCCAAAGCAAGGGAGGTAAGCCATGTCAACTGGGCTTAAAGGAGACAATTTCTTCAATTACCTCCCTTTCATGGAATGAGAATCCTGATTATATGTTATAATTTTGTTGTATTATTTGTATTCATATACCCCAGTCGGGGTCTTTGTCTTAAATAAAAACTTGTAACTTGAATCTGAATTAAGCTTGTTTCTACAATTTCTTTTTTGCATCCTTTCAGATGGCCCTTATTGATGAACAGCAGGCAGCTATCAATAACTTGAAATCAAATCTGATGGATGAACTGAATGAACGAGGCATTTTGTCTGATCCGGAGTGTCAGAAGGTTCTAGAGAGACACAAACAAGTATATTATTAGATTTTTATATACATTGTTTAGAAAGATCACATGCTGAATACAAGTTTTGATTAATTTTGCTTGACATTTAAATTGAAAAAGACTCAAAAGTTGAACTTTTCATTGCTCCAGGAACAAGAACAGCTACACAAAAAGCTGGACAGCCAAAGAAGTCGACAAGAGAAGGTAAGATGTGATTAATGCATTTAATCTAATCAGTGTTTTTTTTTATTGCAATACAATCATGGTGGAAAGCAAAAGACAAGTTGGCAAATTTAAAAAATAAATAAATAAAAACATGGGATTTATGATTAACTTTGAATTTATTCTTCTATATAGCAAGTAAAAAAAATTGTAAATTTAAATTATTTAAAAAATATAAAGGCACATTGATCAATATCTAAAATTTGACTTTTATATTTTAGGAATTACGTAAGCGACTGAAGGAGAGGATAGAACAGAAGGAAGAGATAATGATGCGAGCTCACAAGAGAGAAATTGACGAACTGTTGTCTACAGCAAAGAACAAAACAGCCCTGAAAATCAAGAGGGCATTACTGGCTCACAAACATACAATGGAGATGGAAAAATTCAGGCATTAGAGTTTTTTCTGTTTAAAAAATATCTTTGCAGTGAAGGGCCTTAGTTGTACCTTGTTTTAACGCAGTATAAACTGTGGAGCTTTTTTTTTTACAATTATTCATGAACACATTAAATTAAACTGTAAATGGTTTATATCTAGTTACAAAACTTCTGTTGGGAAAAATAGAAGTGTTAATCTTTAACGTGAATATATCTCATTCTGAACAATATCAAGTAATATGACTGCATGTACCTGATAGGCAGCTATAAGGGGGGGGGGGGGGTGTGTTCAAATATAACATTTAGCAATAGACAAAAGTGTAAGGTTGTCTGTTTTTCTGTCTCTGTATAGGAATAATCTGGACAGACAGATAGCCCAGACCTTGGAGGAAGTCCGACGACAATTTGAAATCAGGAAAGCCAAGGAAACTCAACAAGAGGTCAGTGCAGGGTGACCATTTATAACAGTTTTCTTTACAGTTATCTGTGGTTGAATATTATTACACATCTATGATATATTTTCATTGTAAACCACCTTTAAAATTTTTGATTTTGTTCTTAATATAGATTCATTTCAAGTCATGAATACGGTACTTGTTCACAAAAACTGTCAATGGAATCATCAATTTTAAGAATTTAGGAGAAAAGTTTTTTTATGTTCAATACGTTCTGATAATTCAAATGCACTTAAAAGGTTTAGAAATAAGTTTTAATTTTGATAAGGAGTGTATTCTTTTGTCACATTCCATCTTTGTCATGCTGTAGGAGCTAAAGTTCATCGCTGGTTTGGTGCGTGTGGGCTCCTTTGACCAGACAGAGTTGGTAGATGTCCTCCATCTTTTGTATCCACAAAAAACTGATGCTGAAATTAGTGCTGTCATGAAGGAAATCTATGATCCTAACTTCAAACCCCAGACTCAACAAGAAGTGCCGTAAGTTCTCAAAAGATTATTTATAATTGTATGAATTTATGATGTAAATTCAAAAATCTGAAATTATAATAATTTATTGTCAGCAATAAAAATATATACTTTAGAAAAATATACTGTCAAACTCAAAATGTTTGCATCGAGAAATATTTTTTTTGGTGAAATTTGGAATGAGTAGATAAATTTTTCAGAATTTTCATCACAATATGCACATTATTACTTCAATCCAGTAATGAATTAGAATTACAACAACACATTTTATGCCTTCTTTAAATATATAAGCCAGCTGAGTTTTGCTGTTTAAATATTGTACACAGTAGACGTGTTGTTTATGTTTGTTCTTACAGTCCATTATCTCGCCGAGATAGCAACCTGGCTGAGCGAGTCCGCAGCACTCAGAGTCTGGAGTTATCCAGGCGAGCCTCACTGTCATCTAGGTAAGATATCTCAACTGGAGTAAATCCAGAATGTAGGATAATTAGTGATAATTAGTACATATAATAGATATTTATTTATGTGGTATATGCCAACCACATAAAGATAGTGTGCTGCTTGGTAGTCCAGAACATAGATTAATTAATGATCTATATAGTGTGTACTCAGTTTGATAGATATTTATTTGGTATATCACATGCATAAAACGTGCTGCTTGGTATTCCATATCATAGGATAATTACCTGGTAGTGATAATTAGTGAATTATAGATTAGATATTTATTTGATATATCACTTGTACAAAGTATATGCTGCTTGCTGATTAACTTTTTTTAGGGTATTGATTAGTTTTGATATTAATTCGTGTTCTGCTAGCTATTGTCTAGGGATTTACATGCATGTATAAGTCCTCCTATTTATATTTCAGTATTGAGGAAAATACTAGGTATATATTTAAATCTAGATGCTTAGTTTTCATATCTGTAGCTTACATATAATGGAGTTCTGGGCTAGTTTTGCGTTTTCTTTTTAATGGATTATCATGAAATTTGATTGGTTGGATGTAGAGACACCATTTCTTTCATTGGACATTTTTATAAAGTTTAAGCAATAAAGATTACTATACAGTGTACAAATCATTTCTATATGAGTGTTACCTCCAGCCACTTAATATATTTAACTGTGCTAGAGCTTAATTTAGTAGTCTAGTGAAGTTTAAAAAAAGGGGGGTGCATGAAGGACAATGGGATTCATGCAATTGCATGGTACATATCGAGATTTAAAAGAGTTGGTTTTGTTTATATCTGATATTCTACATTAAATCCAATTTAACTGAGGGTAAATATCAAGCTTAAGAGCTTGCCTACACATGTATATCATGCAATCAATAATCTTTTGTAATTACATTTATAATCTTATGACAATTTCACTTCAAGTATCAATCTAAAAGAAAACTTTTAAAGATAAAAGTATACATTTATTTAGCTTTACATATTTGTAACGAATACATCAAAGATTAAATTGATCGAGGTTTGAAAAATTTGTCATTTATTGAAGAAAAAAAAAATCATGAAATGGGAATTGGAATGGTATAAAATTATTTATAAGGCCACACCAATAACATCTTTGTTTGTCAGACCTGTGCACTACAAAGCAATCAATATAATAAATTAGTATAATCCCTAATTCTAGTCAGTAATTTTAAGATTATATATATCTAGTTTACAGCCAGACCCTATTAATACACAACAATAGCAGAAAAGTAGGTCATTTCAGTAATATATCAGTCAAAGTGGGACCATTTAAATCATGCATTGAATATACTTATGTATTCATTTACTACTGAAAGGGGTTGAATGGGAATAATCGGAGACAGTGTTGAAATTGTATTATTGAGCCAATTCAGTACACATTAATTAAGGGTAAAAAATATCTATTAAACATTTTTTTCTTACATCTTGCTTAAAGTTGGGGAATCAAATTTGAGTTTGTCTGTCCATCATTCTTTCTGTCTTTGACACTTTCAATTTGAATGAGAAGTCTAAATGTCCTTCAGCTTTTGCAATATTTTTAGAACCCCTTATTGATTTTGAAGGCAAAAAGTCAAATGTCAAGGTAAAAAAAATGCATAAAATGATTTCCATTTGATAATATTATTTCTGTTTTAGCTTTTGCAATAAAAGTTAATTTTGAACCTTAACTGATGAAGATTTTAATTGATTTTGATGTCAAAAGGATTCCAGCAAATATTAAATATTCCAGTTAATAATTCTCTATATTTCTTTGGGAAGCCCTCTTTCTGAGTATTAGTGAAATGTAGGTGAAATTTCACAAGATTAAACTTGATGATTTACTCAATTTATGGCTTACTAAAACATAATTTTTAATCATGCACAGTGAAATAACTTTACAATACATTAAATGGTCATATATCTTAGCTATTACAAAGTGAAATATATACTAAAAATGAACTATTCATTTTAACTAAAAAATATTATGAATTTTTATGGTGCTGAAACTAGAAAACATTAATAAACCTTAAGACTTATGCTTTGCTTTGTGTTTTAATATATTACATATATCATATCATTATGACACACTATTTAATGAGATTTATTATATATTCTCACTTTAACTGTAAATTTTCTTAAATTATTATCTTAAAACTTATGCTTTGCTTTGTCTTTTAATATAAAATTTATGATATTTTAATGAAAAACACATTTGATTTATGAGAGATTTGTTTACAACCCCCTTATCATAAATTTTCTATTAATTATTATAATTAAAATTACCAGTAGGTTTCATAAAATTTATAATCAAAGAAAATCTACTTGCATTGTAAAAACCATTTGTACAATGAGTATTCACTCAGATGTATAATATATCACAATATTTATTTCTTTCAGGCATTAATTATTTTTTGTAATCAAAACAATTAAATTAATTAAATAACCAATTCAATTTGATTTTGATTTAATTTAATAAAACTTTAAAATAAAAACATTCTTCCTGTAAATTAACATACAATTATCTTTAATCTCTCTCTTCATCATTGTAATTCTAGGGCATCTTTTGACGTACGTATTTATGTACAGTACCACATATTTTGCAATGGATTGTTCTATTACATTGATCGTAATCAAACAATAAATACACATGCATATTAATAACATGGCCAATTCTTAAGTTGATTGTGACCACTGTGTTCTTTAATTTGAGGTCTCAAACTTCTTAGTTTAAAACGACACACAAATAAACGAGTTTGTGTATTATCATAACAGAATAAATTTTATGAGTAACCTTCTTCATTTCATGGGAATAATTAAGACACAGTATATGTTTCTAAAAAAAAAATAAAATAAATATTTGCATTTTTTTTCATCTTTTTTTACACTAGTTGTCTTGTAATTTATTTTTTAACTTTGTATTTATTAAAAATAATACTTTTGATCATGATTTGCAGCATTTTACAAATTTAATATGACATATCTCATTATTAATCATTTAATTCTTGTCATATTTCATTAAATAAGTCAAATGCGTGAGTTACTCAATTTAAAAAAAAATTGAATCAATCTCCATTATATGAGGATACAAGCAAATAAGTTGGCAAGACTTGCTTGGTTAAATTTTGACCCATATGCAGGTCTGAAGCAAAAGTTATGTTATCAAATTATTAAAGTATAATGTACCTATCTCACTTTAAAACAGTTAACTACAAACGTATTTGAAAATTGTTTGAAAGATTTTTAATTTTATTCAAATTATATTCAAAGTAATTGGTAAACAATTTACCAGTTAGTCTTATACATTAACTGAATTCCAAATTATCTGGATTTTATTAAATGGTTTTAAATTTTTGATCTTGACTCCGCCTTTTATGATGCATCTTCTTTTGTGTTTAACTCAAAATGATTTTTCACTTTTGATTTAGATCTCAAAGGAAGCGCTCCTCCAAGAAATCTCGCCAGAATGCTGACTCCATCTCAAGACCCCTCCCCGAAATCCCTCAAAGACGAACCTTACGAAAACTGAACGAGAATAATGAATCGGACGATGACGAATACTCGTATTTAGATAAAAGACCTGAGCCCATAGGAGAAGTCATGGAGGCGCGCAGAGTGGACGATTTCGAGACTCTGCCAACTTCGGCGATACCCTCCAAGTTACCTCCCCTTGAGTCCAAAGTACAGAAGAAAAAGGGGGGCAGAAAGAAAAAGAAAAAGGTTCTACAAAAACTCGCTCACGCAGAAAGTGACGATGAGATGTTATGAAAAAGAAAAAGATAATGTTATTCTTGAGGAGGAGTTTTTACCGTAATTTGCAAGAATTCTTTTGATACCAGCGAGTACACTAAACAATTCTGTTTAATAGTCATTTAATCAAGAAATTTCAGGCAATTTTGTGACACATACATGTATTTTACATTAATTATTATTTGATTTAATTTTAATTTATTTTTAATTACTCATTCACGTAAAGGTAAATCCATACTCTTTCAAAATTTATGTCCCTTGACTGGCAGCTTTTGAGGACATTAACCCTTAGAAGTCATGCATCTTAGCATTTTTATAAGTTTCATATAGCTTGATACTCAATTAATTTGTCATATTTGACTTCAACACAATTAACTGTTGCATCTTGTATTTTGAATGCCCCATGAAAGGACTACCTAAACATTAAAATAAAAAAAATTAAACACAAAAATTTGTAGCAGTATGCCTTAATGTGTGGAAGTGTAAAGAAGAGAAACATTACGATTTTCCCTATTGACCTTTTGGTTGACCCCACAAAGGGAAATAACTTTTGCAAAGTGTGGATTGGACACACATTTATCCTAATTTGACTGTCTGTCATTTGCCATCTACCTCATGCTTCTTCCATTATACCACACAGTGTCAAGGTTTAAATCATATTCAAACATTTGAATAATTGCAGCCCTGTTTGGGATATTATTTTTCTGTCCAGACCAACATATAGTTTTTGAGCCAAAAAAAAAAAATCCTCCTTTTTTTCTTAATCTCATTTAGATAGTAAAGTATTTTGAAATTTAGATATTGAGAAAATTTAAAAAAGCAAAAATATTGTATTAAAATATAGTTGTGGTAACAGGATTAGAGATTTTTGAGTGCAGGGGATATTCCAGCAATAGAACAACATGCTATACAGATTTTTTAAATAATCAAAATTTGCCAAATTGTTTTAAAATAAAATTAAAATAATTCATTTTTTGGACATACATGTACATGTTATTAAAGAGCATTCAATTCAATTAAATGTAATCACAATAGAGAGCAGTTTTTCATAAAATTTATAATTTATGTATACTCTAAAACTGGAAACTTTAATTGACATACTTGTCTATAACTTATTTTAATCATTGGTATTTTCATAGACATGACAAATTTCACATTCCTTTTGAAGAGTTTAATGTAAAATGCATGTCATTCAGTGTTTTCATTCGCCATAATTTTGTAATGAACTGCAATGATCAAACTTTTAACTTTTACTCTGGACTGTGTGGAGTAATTTTCAAGACACAATATTTGGGGATTGGCCTCCACGCACGTTATCATTCATATTGCACCTCCTTTCTCTGTCAAGGGTAAATTGGTAGCATAAGAAGCCTTGCTCATTATTTGATTCAAACTGTGATATTTATATACATTTTTTATTCTTTATTTGATATACCAATCTTTTTTTTCCTATTGATCTTACAATGATGTTTTTTTTTTATTTTAGGAGATTATTTTTTAATGAAATAATATTTTCCCATGTTTTTTTTTTAATAAAACTGTCAGATAATGTATAACTTAATGTTTGTTTGTCTTTCTTTGTTATGTAAGGTTGATACCCCCCAACATCTAAATCGTAATTACCAAATGTAGCTGGTATCCAGAACACCTAAACTATATAAGGCAACACATTTGCTAAAGTCAAGGTTTTACGATCCAATCATGAATTTTTATGCACCTGGATCAATAGATTCAAGGTATATATTATTTTTGTTCTGTCTGTGCGTTTTTTTGTCTGCAAACTTTAACCTTCGCCATAACCCATAAATGTGCCACCTCTTTCAAATGACACAAAGGTCAATGACATTGTTACCGCCATTTCCAAACATGAATCTACATGGTCATGATTTGAAATATTTGACTGTGACATATATGCTAAATAATCCACACTAACCCAGGATTAGGTTCTTGACCAAGGTCAATGAAGACTGTTACCTATATGTTAAATATATAGCTTTTTCGAATTTTGTTGCCGCCGGTGGTACACCTGGCGCATAGTGTTTCACAAACACATCTTGTTACTTTCGTATTTCCCATAAAGATTTTTCCTACATGTTTCAATGTACAACTGGATTCTCCCCGCCCTACCCCGGGGTCATGATTTGAACAATATAGAATCTACACTACCCAAAGATGCTTCCATGTAAATTTCAGCTTTTCTGGAATTCTTGAGAAGATGTTTAATGAATTGTCTTTTCTTGATTATCTCCCCTTGCAAGAGGGCTTGACCCTTTATTTTAACAATTTAAACTCCTCCTTTGCCCAAGGATGCTTTGTACCAAGTTTGGTTAAAATTGGCTCGGTGGTTCTTCAGGAGAAGTTGAAAATGAAAAAAAGTTAACAGACGGACGGACAACAGATGATCAGAAATGCTTAATTGAGCTTTCAGCTCAGGTGAGTGAAAAAATGACATGCAACGAAATTATTATTATTTTTTTTACATTTAACCCCACCTAGTGAAGTAGTTTTATAATTAAAACAAAGCAAAAGTACATCTATTTTATGGAATTTCAATATTGAATTCGAATCAGCAATTCAAAAATATCATTGCAACAAATATCATGAGCAATTACCGGCTGATTTCGGTATCATATGCATGTTTATCCTAGTACTATTTTTATGTATAGTTGCATATTCAAACATTCGATGACGTTGATGCGTTCGTGCTACTGGTTTGTACCGTGCTGTTTGTCCTAGAATGTGATTTTCTGGTAAACAATTCTTTGATCCCTCTCCTAACTCGGACGTTAACAACGCTGTATACGATAGGATTTGACGCATGCGCAATGAAAAAGCAATACTGGAATATCAATCCTTTAGTTACTTCAAAGGCGTAGAAAGAATAGGGAATCCAGCAAATTACGTACAAAAATGTACAGATGGTCAACATTGTCCACGTTTTCGCTTGCATTGTAGGTCTTCTCTTGGCGGATGTGACAATTCGAGAGTTTGTCGAGTTTTGCCTTTTCTGTGATCCCTTGAGTGGAGGAGAAGATACTGAACTAGTTCCTTGACTTGATTGGTTGTTATTGAGGTACATGGATTCTTGGCGATGATCATTTTCCTCCGAGACTGGCGTTCTTTCTAGGTTGATCGTGTTCGATTCAGCACCTTCATATCGAAAGCTTTGCAAATCTCTCGACGAAGAATTTTCTTGAGCAATCTCATTTCTCTCAGAATCTTTCTCCAGGTAGATGGATTCCAGTTTATCATCTTGTTTTCCGTTCGATATTTTTGACTTTCTTGAATTTAAATTTTCATCAGTAGTAATCACTTTAGAATCTGTGTCCTCAACTTGTTGTAATGGGGCAGACTCAAGTCTCGCAGAAGACCGTTCTTTCATATCATCATCAGCTTCATTGGAATCTGTCTGCACGACTTGACATAATGGGGTTGAGGCAATATTTGACATATCGCGGTCATCTCCTCTGCCATTGTCGATAAGACGAGCACTACGTGTTTGACTTTCATTTGAATCTTGCTTCCCTACACGATTTCTAATATTCGATCCTACATATGATCGTGGAGCCCTTTTCCTATGTCGATAGATAAGCACATAGACAAGACTATACGTGATTATCAAAATTAAAAATTCCACTCCCATCAAAAAAGAAATCATATTTCTAAACCATAGCGTTTTCTGTTTTCCTAATATGCTTGTTGTATGAGCACAATATTTTTGCTGTGCCTGAGTTCCATTTCCAGACTGGGTACTATTGTGATAACTAACATTGTAAACAAGAGCTGCGGGGCTGGAACACAGCATGGCAAATAGGAAAAACCCTATCATGAACGACAGTTTGGTTGTAGATTCCATAGCTTTCAGGGGCCGCCATACCATCATTAGACGCTCCCATGCTATCAAAATAAGGATCAAATTAGAAAATCCTATAGCAGTATGGCGAAACACTTCGAACGCGTGACAAGCAAAACTGCTTTTCACCTGTCGTAACTGGAACACAATAGAATAAGGGGCAACAAGCACCACTATCACTAGGTCCGTAATCGCTAGACTCAGAATGTAAGCTCGTCTTGGAAATTGTCTTTTTTTAGACAAGTAAACGGCTATTACAAGTGTGTTGCCGATAGTTCCCAAAATAATATAAATAGACGTGGAAACAAGAAAAGATATCATATCCAAGTCCATAGCAACTTCTTGAAATATTTTCCCCATGATTGTTCCTCACTTTCTGTTACTGGAGGTAAGGTACATGTGAGTAGGATTTTCTCTTTGGTGGCTGCAATGGAAAGAAAACGCAAAAGCTTACATGTGTCATAAAATGTTTTAATACAATGTGGGTGGAAGAACAAAGCTAACCCTTAAGAACAGTTTTGTCTATTGCATACTTAAAATGGTATACTACTCAAACAATTGGGCAAGAATGCGAACTGTTGCTATCAATTCCATTGAAGTATTCCGTTTTGTATTAATGCAGTTAAGAATTAAGAAATTCCCTTACGAACCGTGCCAAGCTTTAATTTAGAAAGAAAAACATGGCTAAAGGAGTAGAGTAGGGTCACAATAGCTTTTATCTGGATACAACGGAAAAAATATTTAAAACGCTGTCAGACTGTAGAGTAGCAGGATCATTAATTATGACTCAGGTGGGTTGGGGCCCTTGAGCCTCTTGTTATTATTTAATTTCTATGATGGGTCAACGAAGAATTTTTATTTTATTGATTCCAAAGTATTGTACGGTGGTCCTAAATGTTCCACCGTAGTATTGCATGTCGTCTTAATCAGTTAATTATATTTAATAGAAATAATGTTCTTAGCACTAACTTGCATATAAAAGTTTATTTTAAAAATTAACCCTAACAAGATTAAGTAATTAGAAATACCTACCTGTAGAAATAATATGCTTTCAAAGTTGAATATAAATCCTGTTGTTTTTTTAAAATCCAATATTAACTAATTAGTTTCTTAGGCACATTCATGGCCATGCAAGTCCTCGAAGGTTGAAAACATAGCATGCTGAAAACGCCATGGGGAGAATTAATCGTGATCCTTTACAATACCCGTCGTGGCTGAAAAGTTCTCAAACTGTGAGAAATTGGCTAAACCGGTATGGTTCTTGTTAATCGGTATCGGGTGACTTCTTATTTTCATCAGGTCAACTTTATTGTTTTATAAAAAAAAACATTGTTAGATCTGCTTTCTTTTATAAATTCATAAATAGGTTTAGAACATAACATAATTATTCAGCCAATCAAATACTTCCATTTCTCGCGAAGAATTGGTTCTTCATGGTGAAGAATTCTTCTATTTCTGAAAAATTCAATGGTATCTGATTGGTTCGCTTGACAGTTATATGGGTGTGTCTTCATTGGTCTTTGTTCAGCACACAAAAAGAAACTATTCAAAACCCACGTGCTGTTTACAATGATATTTAAACTTTCTAGGCCTTGCTACACTTTTTTTTCCCACTGTAATCTTTTGTCGCCTTTTTGATTATTATTTTTTTCACATTTTGGTACATACAGAAAATACAACCATCGTCATATATATCAGAGACGAACCTTGTCTTTGAAGACAGATTTAATCACAATTTTTATCTAATTTTTATTTGATATGAGACAGCGATACCCACTCCTGCTGACTAGGGCCTTGTCATCTTAACACAATCATTTTTTTAAATATAGATATTTCGATTCTTGTTACATGGGTATTCATTAGTTCAGTAACTTAAATATCTTCACCATACCATTTCCCCAGAAAATCAAGCTATTTCATATAATCGCGTGCTAACCTGAATGGGTTGGGAGTCAATTCTAAAACCGCGTGTGTTCGATATTGATTGCGTGCTCGATATGTACAACGAGCGGTCAAGTTGAGCCTTATATATGACACAGTCGTGGGAGGAGTTTATTTTTAAACCATGCATTTGATTGGCTGAGGTTCTGTTTAAGTCAGTAAGATCATACGAAGAGAAATCTTCGTCACGAAGAATGGGCTCCGCTTCGCTCCGCCCATTCTTCATGACGAAGATTTCTCTTCATATGATCTTACTATTACAAAGATTCCACAGTGAAATTTGAATTTTGTCTGATGTACAATGGCAGAATAATCGGGGTCAAGAACGGAATTTCACTGAAATTGACCGTTATATTTTTTTAAAAACAAGATATTTAAATTTGGCTCTTTTTCAGACCGACTCTGGTTTTTGTTACATAACTGTATGAGTTTTGTATATAAATAGAGAAGAACTAGTTCTACTAGTAATGCCAAAATACAGAGAAAATCAGTCAAAAATGCTTTGCGCGTAATGAAGCCAGAAAACATTGTAGAGGTTTGTTTGCAGCACCTTACAAATCAGTGGCAGATCCAGGATTCTTGGAAAAAAAAGGAAGGGGAGTCGACATTTTTGGCCAGGTCGGGGTTGAGACGAAGATCTCTAAGCCCATATGTTTAAGGATTTTTATTTAAAAACAGTTTTTGTACATTTTTGGTCACATAAGCCCCCCCCCCCCCCCCGACCCACCCTCTTAATCAACCAGTGAAGATCATCACTGAAATGTCATTTTAAAATGCATCTAGCTCTGTCTCCAGTTATGTTGGAACCAATCTGGATTATGCACTACGTCGACAAGCATTCAGGCATGAGGACAAAACTATGATAAGATATTTTACAGTGTATACGGTCTGCAAGGAGTTTTCTACCAATTAGAGATAAGAAGTCCGTCCTCTGAATACTATCTGCTTGAAACCGTGAGTATGATAAGCATTAACCTCAAGAAAAAAAAATCTCTTTCTCTCCCATTTTAAAAGAAAAATCCCTTTAATTCTTTAGACTTCGAATAAATCGTATTCTTTATACATACTGAATTTATTTAGTCCATTTTCAGCATAAGGTACTGTTATATTTATCCAGGATATGAAAAACATACCAAAGAAAATAATGTATAATAAACAGTAATCGCTGAATATCCTCCGTAAATACCCGGTTCACAATGGCGAAGATAACGAACAGTGATCTATGAACAATTCAAAACTGTAAAATCTGCATAAACACGGACTCCTGGTAACTGTAGAGGTGGGATCAGGTGCCTTTGAGAAGAAATCATCCCCTGTTGACCTGCCCCTTTGTATTGATCACGTAGACAGAACATTCCGTAGTCAAATTCAATATTAAAACAAAAGCCTTACAATTTGTAACAATTTGAAACAAGCCAACCAAAATACCACCCACTCATAGGTTGGATTTGCTAATAAGATAATTATTATGACCATGGAATTTACGAAATATGAAAGCAAAGTTTTCTACAAACTTGCAACCAACACGAAATGTTTCAAACATATTTCTTGAATCAATCGATTAATATATTGTTGCAAATTTGTAGCAATATTTGCATTATATATAAGCTAGCAATAATCTTTGCATTCAAATTAGCACATATGTATCTATATTTTGAGAATCCAATGTTTTCAAGTCTGTAGCAAATCTTACTTGCATGCTGTAAACTTGTTGCATACAATCAAGAAAATAGGTAGGCCTACATGTATTTATAATGGCAAAGTCCATGTTTTACACTAGGAGACCCGAAATATACATGTAAGTGTCAGATCAAAAAGTAATATAGGAGGTGCCCAATGACATTTTGTAATAAAGAATCTATGAAAGTATCATTAAATTTTATTCAGTTGTATAGGAGGAGTTGAAGATAAGAGATGGGTACCCTTCAATATTATAGAAAAAATGGCCGTGCCCATGTTTTGCTCTGGGAAACCCAAAATATGTCTTACTCAAAAAGTAAAAATAAGAGGTCACAATAACACTATGTAACAAAGATTCTGTGAAAGTTTCATTAAATTTCAATGAGTTGTCTGCAGCTACATGTAATATTTACATCCACTAAATATTTTTTCCTTTATTTCTTATGAAGACCATTGTCATTTATCACTGCATGAACGACATTTAAAGCAAGCCACGTGCATAGATTTCTTGACCAATGGCTGTTCCATCAGTTATGCATACGATGACATATTAACCAATAATGCAATATTTAACATACTGTATTTAATTTTACTTTTTTTTTCATACAGATGTACGTAAATATACACAATAAAATGTCTTTCTTTGAGAATTAAAGTTGCAGCTGTTTCAGAAAAAAATGACATAACCCTCGGGGTATGTATTTTTTCTGAAACAGCTGCGACATTAATTCCCATACTAACAATTAACCAAAGAAATCATTTTGTTAATTTAAAACACATTATTTTTTAGATGTTGCTGGTGCCTTTGTTTGGACTGGCCATTTTGCAATGTCTGGTTGTAGGGGCGGAACTCACAGACACGGTCAATAAATTTAATGATGCTCTTGATGCAGGCTTGGATGGTGTCAAAGTCTTGATACAGAATGCAGAGGACCACCTTCCATCCGCCATCAACCAGGCTTTTGAATGTAAGTACAAACCCCAATAGCTCGAACTTGACAGGGAAAAAAACTTTGAGCTATCCGAGGATTCAAGTTATCGACTATTAAATACTTAAATAATATGTAACTAGGACTCCCAATTCACTTCGACATATCCATGGTATTCAAGATATCAGTGTTCAAGGTACCAAAGTTTAACTGTAGTTCTTTATGTTAAGCATAACTAAATACATCCTGTGTCATGGTGTCCTCTCATATTACACCTACTGCAAAATAAAAGCTTAGAAAAGAGAAAAGTAACCCATTGACCTTTATTAATGCTTTCATTTGATCACTTAATATCACTAATGCATCTTCACTTCTTGCAGATCTTGACCGACTTCAGAAGAAGCCTACAGGGTATAAATATATTGTTATTCATGCCTCTCGTATCTTTTCTGTGCAACTTCTTTAATTTACTCCAGACTTACTAGTATATGCGTTTAACAACCAGTATTACAGTTACTAGTAACTGGCTTCTTGAAAATTAGATCTTCGTATTTTTCATGTACCGAGAAGTTCATTTATTTGAATTTTACTGTTTTATTCTATTCCCACAGTGTGACCCATGTAACAAAATCAATATTTGAAACAGCTAAGAACACGATTTCACAAATCCAGAGCGAGACTGAAAAACTCTTCAATGCTCTGCGGGTTTCTTCGGACAACCTGAAATTACCAGAGAATATACTTCAACTCATCGGTAAGCTTCGTTTTTCCCTTCATACTTGAACTGTTACATTTGGGTTTTTATTCAAGTATAAAATACCGGTAGTTCATGTAATACTCAAAAAAAATATACTTGCTCCGAAATTTTACGACAAGCAAAGTATGGTATATTTATAGTCGTCATTAATAATAGTTGTATTTTCATTTTGTCAACTTTGAGCCATAGTTTACTGATATTTAAAGAACGAATTTTATTCCGTTCTATAGCAAAACACCATGAACAGCAAGATCAGCTTATCAAAAAGGCAAGACAGGATATTGCCGACTTTTTGGCAGCTTCCAATTTGAGGGCCACCAAAGCAGACGAAAAGTTAGCTTCCTACCTTCAGCATAAAACTAATGCTCTCAAACAGGTCTGTTTGCCGAAAGACGTGTCGTTCTTGCTAACTCTAGGCATTGCAAGTATCTGTTACTAAAACTAGACTTATTATCTTACAGGTAGTGACGTCAGTTGGGAGTGCCGTCAACGGCATCGTTGGAAATTTACAAAATATTGAAAATTCTTCCCTTCAAAAAGGTACATTTATTGAATAAGTTTTCCCTACCCTAAAATCATTCTTTGTATGTGTACTGAAATATATTTTTCATAATCATTTACAGATGTTCTTGAAGCGAGAATCAGTCACGTTCTTCAAACAGGCCAGAAAACGATTGAATCTGCCGTCAGTTTTGCAAATGAAGAGATAAAAGACGCCATGTCACATTGAAATATAGGAGTGGATCTGAAATACTGAATGCTGTATACAGTCTGATTTGATAAAGACCTATTACGATCTCTCTAACTATTCTCCTTTATTAAATACAAATTACAAGGAATATACATTCCAAACTACAACAACTATAAATCCCCGTAAACCATGTAACAAAGACGCACATGCAGAAAATACAAAGATGATATCACAGTGGGAACAAGAAATATGAGGTGAATTTAAAAATAGTCCTGTAAATAATTATTTAAAAAATATAATATTATGCTCACAAAAAAGAGCCAGATCTAATAAGTGCACAATATACATTCGCCTCAAATGTGGGGCACTTTTTCTTCGACTAGAATAAGTTACTAGTTTAATACTATTAATGTAGGTAAAGTGTACAACATTATTTATTAAATAAAAACTCCTAAAGGACAGATGAAACAAACAAAAATTTTATCAAAAAACTTTGAACATACTATGTTAAATTGTATTTGTGTAAGTAAAATGAATATTAATTAGTTTCACCGTATAAATTTTAGTTTTTCATTCAAAATTTCACAATCTCATTTATTTAAAGTGACAAAAGTTTTATAAGTTAATTACGATGGTTGCAGAAAAGTAGAATTTTGAACATCATACGAAGTATACGATTCGTTAATATTTATTTACAATAACAACCAAAAATATTGACCAGTCCAGGCATCCATCTTTTTGTTTGTATCATCTGTCGTTAATAATTTGCATACGTAGTTTGAGCAGTTTAAACTATTTTGAGGACTGAAAGCCTCAGTAACAATGCCAAGAGTTCTGCTGGAGATAGACTCAAGGTGAGATGTCGTTCCATGTGGAAAATTTAATCGAATCCCTTCCTGTACCCACACTCATTTCGCGGACGTAGTGGGTGCCCTCCCAGCCCCGCCCCACCTGTCGTTTGAGGGCGGAGTAAGGCATGTGTGTCTTAGGGATAGTGGGCGTGGCTATAAAGTCTTCCTGAATGTCATATTCACTGTGGATTGGACTACTTAAATAACGAAACGACGCCATTGCAGTTTTGGCGCGCTTCATTGTTGCAGCAGGTATGTGATTTCCGACCGAATGCCGCAATGGAAACCGCTTTGCGCTGAACAGAGAATCTGTTTTAAAAAAAGATATACCCATAATTATAATGATTGGAAGTACATTTCATCTTAATCAATTTTACTTTAACAAAATAAGATGTGGTCACTTTCGGTTAAGGTGTGTACTCACCGTCAAAAGCGAAGCTGTTTCTCGCCTTGTCCTGGTACTGACCTGAGATGACCGCTGGATCAGACTTTGGAACCGCTGCCAAAAACAGAAGTGAAATCGTTACACACAGAGAAAATATAACAGGTAACAATACTTATTTTACAAATAATAATCATGGAATGATAAATTTTATATTCGTGCGACAGCATAACTATCAATCTTGTTACAATTTTAAAGAGAGAAAGAAAGAAATTTCCCTAACTTACTTGAACTGAAAAGTGGTTCCTCAACATAAGATTTCTCAGAAACTCTGTGGTATCTGTTGTATAAACTAAAAGTAAAAAAAAGTATACAAAGATATTCAAGAAATCTGTCTTTAATACTTTTTGTATTACTAAATACTTGTGTTCTATACTTTCAGTTTGTCCCCAAAATATTAGACCAACTTTTTTAAATATGCGTCTATCTATTCGTGGAAAAAAGAGGGGGGGGGGGTAAAAAGGAAATCAATAACTATTATGCCTATAGGATTTTTCTTTGAAATAGATATTTATTTGTTAAAAATGAAATTTATTCATTAGAAAAAAATTAACTTGCAAGAAGATTTATTTGGCTTTTTTAACTTTCAGACCATTTTTCCTCTTAAATGCCACGAAAAAAAGCATAATTAATGCATTTACATTTAGACATAAGTTATAATCTATCTAATTGCATGAAATATATGACTAAGAAGGAATGCAATAACAGTGATTTGGTGGAATATTAACTGTAATGTTGAATGCTTACCATCTGATCATAGGAATAAATCGAATGTTGCCAGCTCTAACGAATGTTCCATGATTTAGAGGGCATTGGAAATATCTTCTCCCCAAAATCATACCGTCATTTTCCCCCACTGAAAGTCAAATGCATAACAACTTGACAAATTGTGTAAAATAAAAACACAGACAGTACCATAATTATATAATCTTGCAAAGTTATATTTAGTACCTGGCCTCTCCAGTGCCACGCCCACCCAGTCACCCTGTCTGTTGACCACTGACCCCTTGTACTTGACCACTCCACGGAACACGAGGTTACCCAGCTTAACCTCGACCCTCTGCCCAAAGTTGATATTCTGGTACAAAACCATTGTCAACTCACGTCCTTAAAATTGGAATCATGAACCGATACTGCAACATGCATAAGTAGCGTTACTCTAACAGGTATATTGTTTACAATTCGTTGGTGATATGAATCAGCTAAATAGATAACGCACGGGTGCCATTTCCAAAGATTTCATCTTAAATGGTTCCACTGAATCTACCTGTTCATGCCTTATTGTCTTTCTGTTAAATCTCTTATGAAACCTATCTCGATCACATTCTTTGTTGGCCTGGGGGCACAATAGTGTCATTGTTCGCAGCATTTAAAAAGCATCAAACTGGTCATAAATAAAACAAAAATGTGACGTAAATCTTTAATATCATTTTCACTTTGTAATTCATCCAGAACATATATATATACTTACCTTTATTGTCTCTTTCGTGCAAAAAGTAAATATCATCGACACGGACACCTGATTGAAGCCGCCATATTGTTTACATTGTATCTATGATTAATCAGGATCAGTCGTGTGTTTGAAAGTACGGCACCTCGTACCTGACATTTCGCAATACACCAAGAATTTAAAAGAATGTCTCACTTTTAATGTTATAAATCGCCTAATTATGTTCCCCAAACGGAGTTTGGGAACATATTGTTTTTACTCGGTTTCTTATTATTATTATTCTTTTTTTTCTTCTTTGTTCTCCGGTCTCTTTTTGTCCGCGAGTGTTCTCAGAAACTGTTCACCCAACTTAGCTAAAACCTTTTTAGGGTTAATAGGTGTGTAGTGTAGGTGTGCGAACGAAGGTCATTTTGTGCGCATACGCATGCACGTGCGGGTGCGTGAAATGAGTGAAATGACGGATATACTTTATATAGCCATAACTTTAATATTTTTTGATGAAATACTTTAAAACTCATTTAATAAGGATATATTAATAGTGTAGATAATGTGACACTGTCAAATTAGCACGAACTCACACGCATGCACGTGCGCTTTGCTCTGATTGGCTGAAACAAAAATGTCTATATCTTTCCTGTTTTTTGACGAAATGCTATGAAATTTAAAATATAGGCATACTTTACGATGTACTACAATATGATATATAACAATTGTCATGTAAACACGCGCATGCACGTGCGCTGCAATAGGTGATTGGCTTAAACTTTAAATGGCTATAACTCCCTTGTTTTTCAACCAATCAGTATGGGATTTAGAACATAGACAGACATAATGGTCTTCCACAAGGATATAGTATGGTCGTCATGCACATGCATGCACGTGCGTGCACGTGTGGTTTGCTGTGATTGGCTGAAACAAAAATCGCAATATCTTTTTTTAATTTTTGACGAAATGCTTTAAAATTTTAAACATAGTCATGCATTAGGATGTCCTACAATATGATATATAACAGTTGTCGTGAAAACATGCGTAGACACGTGCGCTGCAATCTGATTGGCTTAAACTTGAAATGGCTATAACTTCCTTGTTTTTCAACCAAACAGGATGGGATTTAGAACATAGACAAACAAAACAGTCTCCTACAAGAAAATATGGTCGACATGCACATGCATGCACGTGTGTGCACGTGAAATGAGTAAAATTTCAAATACACTAGATTAAAACGTATTTTTTGATACTTTTGGATAAAACACTGTAATTTCTAGTACTAGTATATAAATAATGTAGACAAGATGATATGGTCATTACGCACATGCATTCAAATGCGCATGCGTGCAATGCATAAATTTGAATATACTTAGTATACTTCTGGGAAAACATTGTTATAGTCTAAAAGGCAACGAGTTCGTCTTATACAATGAAGCTTACAGGGAATAACGCACCAAAAGGGAGATGGGGAGCGTTTGGGGAACATCTGTAACGGTTCCCGTTACAATTAGCCCTAGTTTTGATATGAAAATATAATGTATTTTTGCCTTTAATATCTTCTCTCAAACGTGGATAGTATATTTACCTTTAATGTCTTTTTAGGGTTAATGGGTGTGTAGATCAATTGTCTAAAAAAAGGTCATTTTGCGCGCATACGACAGTCGCGTTCGTTATATATACTTAATATGGTCATAACTTTTACATTTTTTGATGAAATGCTTTGAACTCATTATATAAAGATATATGCATAGTGTTAATATCATGAATTAAAATTTTCCCTGCTTTTTACTTTTGGGAACACAAGAATCTCAATATCTCTTTTGTTTTTTGACGAAAGGCTTTGAAATTTTAAATATAGTCATGGTATTCCATATGATATCAAAAAAATCAAGAAATCACGCGCATGCACGTATATACTGAATAAACTTTATATAGGTCCTTTGTTTTTTGATAATTATAATTTTTTTAAGTAATAAAGGGCAGAATTTTGATAAATTTTACTGGTCTATTGTAGAATCTGCTACAATATCATATATACTATAGGAATTAAAAAAAAAACAAGAACGGTTAAAACAAAGTTCATTAGGATATCCTCAAATGTATACAAAAAAAAAAATGAAATCACGAGCATGTACGTGTGCTGCTAAATGTTGGCAGAAACTTGAAATGGCTATAACTCTCTTGTTTTCATAATATTATTTAGTTTACAAAGTCATTCATTTTTACCTTCGAGGAATTTAAGGGGGTGAAATTAAAAATACACTTAAATGAGTGATTTTTAATATTTCGCGCACTGAATAGTTGATATATAGAAGCGTATTTACCGTTTTAATGCAACTTTTTTCGCTTAGTTATTAAAATTAAACAAGATTAAGAAGTTATAGGTATAAAAATGTAATTACAATTTGATATAACTGATTTTTTAACCGATTTTGCAATTGATAGGTAGGTTGACGTCGTTGCAGTGTGTTTTTGACGTTTTGATAATCTGTAGCTCTTAAAGAAAGGGGTAATAAAAATATTATTAAAGAAAAATTAATAAACATACACTCTTGAAATTTAAAAAATAGAAATTTGACAATATCTCCAATATTTTTATTTTGTTTTCATGTGAATCCATTGTGTATGTCATATTTTGTAATACTCTATAAAAATAGTAAAATTTGCTAATTTTTTGCATTTTGAGAAAAATGCCCCATCAAGGTAACATATATATGGTAGAATTTTGTGTTTCTTACATATATTGTATAATATAGTATTACTCATCAAATATTATAGTTTGAACACAATGTCTATTGTAGTTTTTGTATTATTTGCTTTAAAGTGCTAAAAATTGGCATTTTCCTATATAATCCTATAGTGAATGTACCTGTATTTTGAGACGGTCCCTCAAAAGTACCTGGATGGTAGATAAAAATGAAGAGTTTCGCTATTGTAGTTTTCACACAATAAAACTATAGTCGGCCCCCTTAAATACGTTTATAAATACTTTTATTTCTCTGTACCATTACGTATATATATATGAGTGGAGTGAATTTGAATTAACTTTAATACAAATAATGCACTTGTCCATGAAATATCAGTTGTATTAATTTTGTCCTTTCACGCTAGTCAATTCATGTATTTTTCCATATCCATGGAAGGTCAATTGTATCTTTAACCAACACAATCTGTATTCTCAAATACTAATCTAAAAGGAATTAAATCATTACTAGTTTGAAATAAAATTGTCGGAAGAAAACGCCTTTTTTTCAAATAAACATCAAAATAATATACAGTGGAATTTATTTTTGAAGTGTATATCACAGAGTACAAGGTATAAAATGTGATAAAAATTCAGACAAATCAAATGTAATATGGAAGTTCGTACACAGAACAATAAAAGTAAAATAACAAAGACACGGAATGTAATGAACTAACCAAAAAGCACCCTTTCCAATAAAAAAGTACCAAAATTCCATTAAACAATCAATGTTTCTGCTCATAGTGCTCTTGTAGCGCCATTGGATTACTAAATTGTCGTGAACATTGCTTGCAATCAAACGTCTTGTTTACAGGGACCGAGTCGTTGTGGGTTTGCATGAAATGTTGCTTAAGAATTGTTAAGTGTCGGAAGCGCTTTCTACACAGAAGGCACAAATAAGGCCGAGCAACGTTGGTTTTGTCTTTTCGATAATGCACTGAAAATGTCGGAATGATGCGATCGACAGAAGGGGTCTCTCTGTTCTTTAGGAATGCGAATTGTTTCCGTTGTTGAGCACGTGACATAATTTGTCCAGTAGTCACTTGGGGTCGTTTTCGTGTCTGAACTACATGAGGTTCGCTTTTTATACGAACAGTTTCGCCCATCTGCTCTTGTGTTGCATCAAAGCTTTTATTGTTGGGAGTTGAGGTCATGGATGTGCTTGGGCCTCCATTCATGGCCAGTGCTGCGCGTGATATGTTTAGTGTTTCCATGGTGAAGCGAGCCGTTTCCGGTACAGGCATCGGATTACATCCAGTTAAGTGGTTCTCTGCATGCTTAACAAGATCTGCAACATCGACTGTCCTGTAAAAGCACAGAGAACAGGCATATGGCCTCTGAGCGAAATCGTCGAAGTCCGATACAAGTTTGGCGTACCGCCCAGTACTTGGAGCATGCATCGATACGCCGTCTTCTGTTGGGCTCGCGTGAGCATTATGATGTGAGAAACTGGTCACGAGGTCGGCTTTACACTCTCTTGTCTCCTCTTTTTCTTCAAGAGTCTTTCCTGGGGATAATACCCTGGACCCACTGTTATTTGCGGGTCTCTGAATTTCTTGCATAATCTGTCGGTTATGAACTGAATTGGTGTGCATTCGCAGCTGTGGAAGACTCTCTGCTTCAAAGTTGCAGTAAGCGCATTTATGTTTTTCAACAGTTATTTCTTTTTCGGAAATCTGTTGGTTATGGTCCGGATGGTTGTCTCTAATATGACGTTGCAAGTGACCAAACGTGATGAATGGCATTCTACAAACATTGCAGATATGACATGCAAGTTCATGCTTTCTTACGTGCCGATCGTATGTACTTTTGTAATTCGTTGCATATGCGCAGAATGGACATTTATGGCGGAAGGTCGCATTACTGTTGTTGGCGGTTTTGGGGGACAGATGGTCGGGAGAAGTTGGATTTTCTAGTTCCTGTATGGACATATCTAAGGCCAAATCGTAGTCATCCGGGTCCTCCACGTAATCTCCGATCTCCCCGTTTCTCCCGTATATCTTGTGGACATTTTTTAGATGATATTCCAAGACCAGTTTCCGACCAAAGGATTTTTCACAATACGGGCAAGTATGCTTAGTTCCGTCTGGACCATTTTTCGTCAGGTCTTCTGTTTTGCTCATAACATTGCTGTCGCTATCCATCGGAATGATTTCGGACGGCTCAAGATCCGGGTCTTCGTAATTGTACCCGCCTTGTGGCTCGGAATCGCAGTCTCCTTCAATTTCGTTGTTCTCAATGTAAAAATTCTTTTCCCCTGCTCCGCTGCCTTGGGGGTCTTCTTTAGGATCCACAAATTCAATATTGTTTACGTTGCCGTTTATGTCCGATTGTTTTGGATCATTCATTTCGGGATCGCTGTGAATTT